GATTATTCAGGCGCTGAGCAGGCTGGGCATCTACACACGGGGTGTCTCGTTCAAGTCACTCACGCAGCCTGAGGCGTCGATGCCAACGCACATTTTCTCGCTGTCGGAGAAGGGCGTTATGGAGGTCCACGAGAAGCAACCCGAAATTCTATTCCATCACAACAGGCACTACCTGATGAGGGCTTATCCTTCTGGCCTGCGTATCGGGTCCTCCAACCTAGACGCTCCTGTCTTTTGGCGCAGGGGCATTCAGATTGTTGCGCTCAACTGGCAGAATTGGGACGAGGGGATGATGCTCAATGAGGCCATGTTCGCAGGCACGTCTGGTTACGTTTTGAAGCCCGAGGGTGAGTTTCCTCTTTTCTAGTAGTGTGATATTGTGCTGATGAAGAGAACAGGCTACCGCTGTATCAAGGCCGGCTCACCACCACCTGCCCCCGACGCGGCAAAAGACGTGCCGCAGATCGCATACAAGACCCTGGACCTCCAAATCGACGTCCTGGCTGCCCAAAACCTTCCTCTTCCTCCTGGCGACACCAAGGTCTCCGGCTTCAAGCCGTACGTCAAGGTCGAGATTCACGTCGAATCCCCCGAGGAACGCCTGCCCGGCGCGCACATCAAGAACGACGGCCACGAGCAGGAGGGCGAGTACAAGGCCAAGACCAAGTCCAACAGGGGTATCGACCCCGACTTCAAGGGCGAAGAGCTCAAGTTCACGGGCGTGCCAGGCGTCGTGGAGGAGTTGACATTTGTGAGATTCACCGTTAGAGACGACGAGATCGGACGGGACGACTTGGCTGCGTGGGCGGCTGTGAGACTTGACCGTTTGAGGGGCGGATTCCGCTTCGTACATCTGATGGATTGTGACGGGAAGTTGACGGAGAGTGTGATCCTTGTGAGGATCACCAAGAAGGTGTACTAAATTGAGCCATTATCGGTTGAAGTATCATTCAGGGGTAGTCTTTAGCGTAGCATGCAGCGTTAAAATCATATTTTCTTTCTCCTCGTAAGATCTCTGAAGTTTATCAACAGAGAACTATCGGTAGCTCTGACATATAGTGCCGATGAATCGGTTTGATCTATCTAGCCCGAGCGTCACCAACTCATCTTCTGGCTGGTGGCATGGCTAACAGCAAGCTCATAGATAGCGGTTGAAAACCAATCACGCCAGTCGATCTTGATCGACATACGGCGTTATTGGCGTACTGAACTTGGTTACTTTGCCACGGATGGGCCTTGACATTTCTGCCCATCAATCCATACTCTTGTCTGGGCTGCCGAACGTGACAGATGGTGCGCTCTCAACAGCTACGACTTGTTTCAAAGCCGAGGTAGTCATCGTCCGCAACCCGTACCATCAGCTGTTAATGTGCCGCTGCTACCGTCGAGTGCTCTTTTGGTCATTGTCAGCAACTTGGCCATCACCGCGGGCACCTCACTTCAGCCTGACTAGGGCGAGGCCTAGAGTACTTCGAAATGGTCCTCCCACCGCGTTCGGGCCTCGAGCTGGCCAAGGGCATGCCAACAGTCATGGGACGCATCTTGGATGCATCGCTATTTTCCCATGACCCGTCGGGGGGCCCTGTGTCACGAGGGAAGAACCAGCTCCTTGGCCCTTTGCACAAGCTTCTGCGCCGTCAGCGGCTCAATACAGGTCTAATGCCAAAGATCCACTTGGGAATTCTCTCCCCAAAACCTTGACGCTTCCTCAAGTCTGCCCAAAGACAACGCTGCGCGGCCACGCGAGCCACTCCTCCCACCCGGGGCCGAGGTGCTCCCCCACCGCGGTCAGCAGCTGCGCGCCGGCGGCGCCAATCTGCCACATGTCCCGCGCGAAGTGGAGGATGACGGCGTGGTGCCCCAGCACGGCGACAGCCTCGGCGCGGCGGCCGCTCAGCATGGCGACGAACTCCTCCGGCACGAGGAACGCCCACGTGAAGATCATCTGCACCATGCGCTGCTGCCCGGGGACGCTGCCGCGGTCCTCCCAGCTGTCGAACGACACCTGGATCAGCTCCGCGGCGCGCCTGCACGCGGCGGCGGAGGTTGCGTCCAGCGTCGTCGCCGCGGAGATCAGGTCCTGCAGGCCGTCGCAGGCGTGGCCTTCCCCAATAAGGTCTTGCAGGCCCGGGCCCCAGGTCAGGAAGGGGCGCAGCTCGGAGCTCTCGAGGGCGGCGCGGGCGCTGCGGATAACGTGGGCGCCGCGCTGGCGGAGGCGGGCGAAGTTGAGGTAGCTGTCGAGGAAGGCGTCGAGGCCGGCGGCGGCGGGGGTGGCGAGGGCGTCGATGCAGAGGTGGCGGCCGAGGAGGGAGGTGAACATTGTGATGGGCACGCAGTTGGAGTCGTCAATGTCGAAGCTGCTGGTCGTGGAGGAGTTGAAGAGGGAGATGGCCTCCATCTGCAGCTGGACGGCCTGCTCCGTGTAGTACTGTTTCCGGTCGGGCCTGGCGCGGGAGAGGTACAGCGCCGAGACGGAGAGGATCTCGTGCATGAGGTAGGGGGCGTCGACGCCCGCCTTGAGCGTGATCCGGCTGCCCCACTCGCGGAGGTGCTCGTCGAGTTCCGGGATGATGAGCTCGAGCTTGAAGGTGAGGAGGAGCTCCATGTGGTCCATGTTGACCTGCGGCCCGGAGCGGATGACGGAGGGGTCCGGGAACGCGAGGGGCGACACGCCCTGCTGCTGCTGCTGATGAGCCGGCGTCCCGGAGGAGCCGTCGGCGAAGGGAGAGCATCCGGCGGTATTAGACGGCGTACTCGGACCCGAATGCAAAGTTTCGGCACCACCCTCAGCGCCGCCGATCCCGGGTGCTACCGCGGGGACTGCTGCGGGCACCGCCGCTGGGGGCGGCGTCCTGTATACGCATTCCCGCTCGATGATGGTGCAGTTTTTACACTTGGGGCGGGTCTCATCGCACTGAGTTGTTCATGTCAGTACAGACGAAGCTTTATTTAGTAGGCTGTTGTGAGGTAGACTCATGAGATTACTCACCTTGATGTGCCTGCGTTTACACTCAACACAGCCGTTCCTCGACTTTTTGTGAGCCCGGCGGTTCATATTCAGGTGCCGTATATGAGTCGTATGTGTGTGGTGTGTGTGTGCCGTACTGCCGGTATATGTCAGTTCTCCTTCGACAGCGTGTTCTTGCTTATATTGTCATCATTGTTCGACGCGTGAGATATCAGGGGGTGAGGATGAAGTGATGAAGTGGGAGAAAAAGGATCATGCTTCCAGCCCTCGGTCTTGTAATGCGAAAGCGAGGTCTGAGGCGACGCCTTGAAAATGTGGGCAGAAGTTTACATACCAAAGTGCAATGGGGGCGCTGGGCAAGCCCGGGACTTCAGATGAACCCCGGGCACCGGAGGGGCTGAGTTTACTAGCGTACAGGGACTCACTAGGCGTACTGGACGTCCTGATACGCTGTATTGGGGGTCTTTACACCGGCAGAGCGTAGCCTCTCCCCACAACACAATCTCGTGCGTACGGGATGGGTTCTGCTGTAGAGACTGGCCCCCATCCTTCAGGCTGGGCTTTTTTTCAAACATAGCCTCCCCATTTGTGGTGCAATGCGATGGAATGCTCCGTGGTGGGGCGGAAAGGGCCGATGAGGAGCGTGGGATGTGTGTGTAATTCACCGACTGCACCGTGTCGATAGCCAAATGCGAAATGCGAAGTGCGAGATGCGAGATGCGAGATGGTGCTGCTTGACGAGATAGGGAGAGATGCGGTGGAACTTGTAGGATGGGGTGAAAAAAATCTCGAATGGAATATTTGTATATAACGCTGCCTTTCTTTTTGTACTTCCAAGAGTCAGTCTATAGATTCGAATCATCCAGTCTTTACATCTCGTCTCCGTCGTCTCAACCTCACTTACACGCCAGTCCTCCTCCCACCGGAACCCGACAATGGCATCCTACAACCTCTACAAGTACTCTCCCTCGGGGGCGGCTGCCATGATCTTCTTGATTGGCTTCGTAGTCGGGTGCGCATGGCACGTGTTCATCATCGTCCGCCGGAGGGCATGGTACTTTATCCCCTTGATCATCGGCTGTCTCCGTACGTTGTCCCCTACTGGCCACACAACCTCACATCACCACTGACAAAAGTTTCCAACAGTCGAGATCGCCGGATACCTTGGACGCTTTCTCTCCTCCACCGATACGGGCAACCTCGGCTTCTTCATGATCCAAACTCTCTGCCTCCTCGTCGCCCCCGCCCTCTTCGCCGCCTCGATCTACATGGTACTCGGCCGGCTGATCCTCTACCTCCAATGCGCGCCCCTCTCCCCGATCAAGCCCTCGCGCCTCACAAAGATATTCGTTGTCGGCGACGTGCTCTCCTTCCTTGTCCAGGTCATGGGCGCCGGTCTGCTCGCCCAGGCAAACTCGATGAACAACGGCAAGACCATCATCCTGCTCGGCCTGGCCGTCCAGCTCATCTTCTTTGGTCTCTTCGTCGTGGCGGCCGCCGTGTTCCATCGTCGACTCCTGGACCGCGTGCCGCCCGCCGTCCTGCACGAAGAAGCTAACTCGGGCTGGCAGAGGCACATCAGAGGATGGAGGGGTGTGATGAGTGTGCTCTACGTTGCGAGCGGCCTGATTTTTGTGAGATCGCTGTTTCGACTCGTCGAGTATGTCGAAGGAAACGATGGCGTCCTACTCTCGACGGAGGTGTATTTGTACATTTTTGACGCGCTGCTGATGCTTGGTGTCGTGGCTGTTACGGCGGTCTTCCACCCCGCTAAGTATGTGCCCGGCAAAAAGGAGATAATGGCTATGCAGGATATGGATGGTTGATGTTCTTGGGAGGTGTGCTGTGAATACAGTATGCCGCCATGACCAGCTATGCGAGCAAGCTTGGGCTGTATGACTAGTAGCCGTATCTAGAAGTCTCATCGGTTTCTAATTTTGAACCGCCCGCGTTAGAATCAGGGGTACTCCTGAACATTAGATAATACATACCTTTCTTTTGTTTTCCGATTGCTCGGTTCTATCAACCATAATCAGACAAATCCCTCAAAAGCACTCTCGTCTCGAAGACATTCCCGGGACACAAGCCCAAGAAGGTACTCCTTCAGGAGGCTCGTATCCTTGACCCTAACAGCAACCTTTGGGGCAGCCAAAGGCGTCGCCCACTCGCTCCCGACTGCTAACGCAATCCTCTCCATCTCCTGGACAGCCACGTCCTCGTAGAGCCAAACCCTGGGAAACCAGTGGAAGAACGGCAGGTAGTAACTCATCACGGCCAGAGCCCTGGGCTTCAGCTGACGAGCCATGTCCACAAACCTCGACGAGACGAATGAGAACGGCCATGCCCTGGCCTTGAATGCCACGCAGCCATCGCAGGTAGGACATGCCAACGAGCCAAAAAGTTTTCCAATCCCGGTTGCCGCACGTTGGAGGTCTTCACGAAACTCCCAGTCCTCGTCGTCCGCGTCCATTCGCAGGGCATCTTCCAGATCCAGTGGAATCGCTACAGGGGCAGCGTGTTCGAGCGGTATACTCCTCTGCGGCGTGGGGCGGAGTGACACTTGTTTCCTGAGCCCATCGATCATCATCCGCGGTCCGATGGCCATCGCAAGCCAGTTCGTAAGCCAGATACCATCATAGCCCGTGTGCCGATCGGCTGCGAGGGCAGTCACGGACAGCAAAAGTGAAGCCATAAAAACGGGCCGGGCGTTGTCTTCTGATACCTGCTCGACTTGGTGCCGAAGCTGCCTCACCGCGCGGTCTCGGTACTTGGTGACGGGGAGGTCAGTGGACGGATCTGTGCTGGCCAGGTGAAGGAGGGTCACGGAGAGGAGGGCGTCCATAAGGTAGTGGTGCTGGAGGGCCAGGCTCGGGACCTCAAGACGGAGGACCTCCGACTTGAAGCCCTCGAGCTGGAAGGCGTCGGTGAAGGACTGCACCGTGCAGATGTTGTAGTGGTGCAGGAGGCGAAGGTGCAGCAAGTGTTCTGGGGTGTAGATGGTTTCGTAGCTTGGTGACGGCTGGCGATGGTTGGGGGATGCGTCGTCGGTGTCTGTCTGAGGACTACCAGTGCCGGACTTCTCCTGCCCAGGGGGCCTTCGGAGGCCTGGCTCCACGTAATGGCATTGTGTCTCTCGCCTTGCGCATGCTGAACATGTCGGTTTCTTCTCGTCACACTACGGACAACGTGTTAGTGATTTGTTGCTGTTCGCCTAGTAACGATGCGAGGGCAAACGTGCCTTTACACGCCTCGTCTTGCATTCGAGACATCCTCGCCTGGACTTTTTGTGGTGCCGGATCTGGTGATACTTGACAACGCGAGATTCAGGCAAGGGTGTTGTCATATTCATCCTCGATCAAGGCTGGCTCTGGCGCCGGCTCCATTGACAGACCAACAGATCACAAAGCCGCCGAACGAGTGGTGAAGGAGAGAATCCATCGCCAAGAACCGGTCCAGCTTCGGTCGACGGAACTATCCAGGCACGGGTGGCAGTGCAAGACCCTGAAGCTTAGCATCACCTCTAGTCTCGAAAGGAAGCTTGATTGGACGCGGGATGGTTCATCTCAGCTAGTCGTTGGAAATTGTCTCTGAGCTTTACCGAATACACGTATTCGCGCCGCAGCATCCCTGTCAAGCTGGAAGGTGTCAGGAAGAACCCACCAGACCAACGGAAAGGGGCCTTAGCGCCAGGTAGGTGCCCTGTAGCTGATTACATAACCGGCAGTGCCGTCCTCAAGACAGCGGCCTCCAAGGAAGACAGGGGACCCAAGAACGTGGGACCAACGATTCGCGAGAAATCTGCCACCTCCCAGAGAAAAAGGTCCCTCCGTCTCTTCCTCTTCATGGCGGGGTAAACGGCAACGACGTTCACTAAGACATGCAGCCATTGCCTTAGTGCGGGCACTCGGTCCCAGAACTTCAGCTCTTGGCTGTCTCTGCCGCAATGACATATCCCTCCACCACCTGCACCTCCCTGCTGGGCAGCGTCCAACCAGTTCTCCATCCCACCATCTCGGGGAGGCCTGCGCAATGGTCTCCGGTATGACGCCATGTGGGTGGATTGGACGTCAGTCCGTCATGACATCCGCGCTGGTGTCGCCCTCAATTCTGTAATATCTTTAATTGACGATAGGACAAACCGCTGCCTTGTTTTCCTTTGGCAACTGGGTATGCCGTACGTCTGACATGTCGCCGAGGGGCCCCCGACGGCAAGCTGGGACTGCATTCCGTCTTACCGAGTCTTCATCATTCCCGCCGATCAGGGTCCCAGTCTGTGGTCCCCATCGCCAGCTCTCATGTCCCTGCTTGTCCCCCTCCCATACCAAGCTGAGCTGCACAGGACAATTACACTATCGGATGTGCTTCGCCAGACCAGACCGAGAACAGCCTAGGGCTTCCCCAAACAAGCTCTTCTCATCCTAAATCGCGCTTGCCAAGTGGCGCGTATCACGAACCTGCTACTGTACCTCCAACAGGTTCAGCTAGGCAAGGCAGTGACCTCCCCAAATCAAGCTTCAACGTCCCATCCATCCCATCATTCCCCGAGCACGTACGGCCTCCCAGAAATGTCGTAAACATGCGTTTCCTAGCGGCCCCCAGACGCACACGTCCGATGGGCCACCGCCTTGTCGATCGGGAGGGTCCAGGTTCCTGCCAAGCGCACATGTGAGAGTGAGACCGTTGTAACTGGCATCATGCTGCAGGTGTCATGGCCGTTAAATACCCCTTAAGCCCCTCGTCTCTTGGATGTAGGTCCGCATCATCTCATAATCATCTGAACCAATTTACAAAATCATTTCCTCCAAATACAAATATAGCAATCATGTCTTACGGTGGTAACGACGACGTGAGTTCAACCTCAGCCTTACATTTCAAGCTACACGCCACTAACACATCTCCAGTCTTACGGTTCCAGCAGGAACGAGGACAGCTATGGCTCCAACACTGGCTCCGCCTTCGGCTCCTCTCGCAACGACAACGACTCTTACGGCTCCTCCCGCCGTGACAACGACGACTCGTACGGCTCATCCGGCCGCAACAACGAGTCTTCGTACGGATCCTCCAACAACGACTCCTACGGCTCTTCTCGCAACGATGACAGCTACGGCTCATCTCGTCGCGACAACGACGACAGCTATGGCTCATCCGGCCGCAAGAACAACGAATCCTCTTACGGCTCTTCCAACAACGACTCATACGGTTCCTCCCGCAAGGACAACGACTCCTACGGCTCTTCAAACGTAAAGAGCTCCGCCTTTGCCGAGTCTACCTCCTCCAACCTCGCCGGCGCCGACTCCCTCTCCTACAACGCCTCTGAGAACAAGGGCCGCACCTACGACAACGACAACAGCAACGACAGCTACGGCTCCTCGGGTCGCAAGAACAACGACTCTTCCTTCGGGTCTTCCAACACGGACTCGTACGGCTCCGGCCGCAACAACGACACCTCCGACTCCTACGGCTCCGGTCGCAACAACAACAGCACCTCCGACTCCTATGGCTCCACGGGCCGGAACGACGACTCCTACGGCTCGTCAGGTCGCGTCGGCGGCAACGACTCTTACGGCTCCAGCCGCAACGACACCGACAACGACAACAGCTACGGCTCTTCTCGTCATGACAATGATGACAGCTACGGCAGCAGCAACAAGGGCGGCGACAGCAAGCTCGGCAAGGTGCTCGAGAAGGCGGGCAGCCTGCTCAACAGCGACAAGCTCGAGAGCAAGGGACAGGAGAAGAGGGAGGCCAAGGGATACGGCAACGACGACTACTAAGCCTTCAGTTTTTATAATGTCTTCTCCACGCTGTGGGATGTTTCGTCTTATTAGCTTGGCCTAGCGAGTTTAATACAACATGATGACCAGAAGTTATGTCGTTTTCGGCTGTCAGCCGTGATACATGAGTGCGTCGCTGTGGCCAGATGTGATTCGCCTACATGTATTTGTGACGGTCTCGCAGGTATGTATGTTAAGGAAGTTTTAAGCCCATCCAGTAGGGGTTTTCACAATAAGATAACGCAGTCAAATCACTCCGGTCAGTGCCAAGTTTCGTAGCTTCGCAGTCTACGTACTCAGGGCTCGCAGATATACGTGGAACATCCCAGTCATAGTGAATCTTTCATCATTCGCGTGCCTTGGATTCATCGGGATGAGCTACTGACGGATGAAAGTCAGTACATAGGGCGGGCAAGAAGAGTCTTAGTCTTGCGGCGACCTAGCATTCTAATGTGACAAATTGTCGTCTGATACGAAGCTGTCCTATACATGTTCCTGGACCTACTACTACGTGCACCAAAGAAAACAAACAAAACACGTGCAGTAAGTGACCAAAGGTGCTTCATTGTTTCCAAACTCCGTCTTGTTACTGCGGACAATGACACAGTGAATTTTGCGACTTATCGATATCGAAACAGAGTCTGCAGCCGCTTCCAATTTAAATTATTCCAAAAGAAAGAGGCCTATTATAAAGTGGATTCATACCCTTCTTCAAGCTTCGCGATAATCGCTATTGCTTATACACGTCTGTGGACGCTTCTGCGGTTCAAATCTGCTCCATCTGTCTATCCTCCAGGGCCCGACCTTTCGCATGCAGTCGACCTCCCTTATCCTTTTGCCTAAGCTGCATCTGGGGAAATGGTGAGCTCTTTCATCGAAGGCTGCAACGAGCTAATCTGATAACATATATCGATGTACTGATCGTCATCTGGTCCAAATACATCTAAGAACCCCTTTTGAGCCTGTTGGTAGCATGACATAGCTTTAAATGCCTCGTCCTGCTCTTCAAATGACCCTGCAAGACTTTGGAGCATATCTAAAGCCGGAACAAAGAATTCTAAGATACTTGACTCCAGCGTCGTGTCGTATGCTTGAAGAATGCGTTCGCACATCATTCTGGCGTCTTCAAGTTGGCCTTGATCTTCGAAGACAACGGCTAAACAATGTAAGGTCAGGAGTATGTCCCGGTGGCCTGGCTCGAATGCATTCTGGAAGCCTTGTAGGGCCCGTTCGTACATTATCTGGGCATCCTTTAGCTGGCCTCTTTCATAGTAGACAGAGCCCATACTGCGGACAGCCGAGAGTGTATCCGGGTGATCTGGCCCGAACGCCTTCTTATAGCCTTCGAAAGCCCGTTCGCACATTGTCATGGCCTCCTCTAGCTGGCCTCTTTTGGTATAAAAATGCCTAGGTCACAGACGATGCTGAGTGTGTCTGGGTCGTCAAGGCCTACTGCCTTCTCGTAGCCTTGGAGAGCCAATCTTAACATGGTCTCTGCATACTCCAGTCGACCTTGTTTTATGAAGAGACTGCCAAGATCACTGGCCATCGAGGTTGTCGATAGATAGTCTGGCTCTTGCGCTTTCTCGTGGATTTCGATCATTTGTTCGCACAATCCTTCGGCATCCTCTAGTTGCCCTCGTTTGAAATAGACAACACGTAGAAGATGATGTTCAGCGACTATGCCAATGTGGTCTAAGCTCAATGTCTTCTCACGGATGTGAAGAGCTCGCTTGAACATGGCCTCTGCATCGTCCAGTCGATCTTGTGCTCTGCCTAAAAGAGAGACGGCGTCTGAGAGTGGTAGTATATGGTCTTGACACAGCTTCTCAAGGCCTCTAAGAAACTGTTCCATCATTGAATTGGCTTCTGTAAAACGTCGTTGTACAAGGTAAAGCCTGCCAAACCTATGGAACACCAATGGGCTGACTTTTAGGTCTCCTTCGATCTTCGCTACCATTCGGTCGGCATGCGGCAAGATTCGTCGCACTAACCAGTACTGAGTGTCGCAGTCATGCGGAACGCGTGATAGAACGCATCGTATCGCTGCCTTTTCCAGGTGTCGGCTCGATTGTGCGTTGAGGACGTGGACCGCCCATGCATGAACACATTGATGCATACTATATCCTCTCGATTCCGGTCTCCAGTCTGCTTGGCTATATGCGTTCGGCTCTGCTAGACCATATTCACAGAGAACTCTCATTGCTGCGTCGAAACTTGGCCTGTCTTTAGTAATCTTATGAAGCCAAGCTGGCTTCTTCAGTCTGCCTGCCTGCAGCAGTTCGTACCGTAGGTCGTAGTTGTCAAAATGTCCCCATAGTCGAAGGAGCTTAACGGCGTATTGGTTCTGCAACTGAATATGTCGGAGAGAGACATTCCAAGTGGAGTACAATGCTCGATCGTACTCTAGCAGGTGTGGACTCTGCTCCTGCAATTGCAGCCAACTTATCTCGTACATTTGAATGTATTCCGTAGAGCTAGTTGAAACTTAGTTCAGATAGGCTCCAGCTGTTGCGAGGGCGAGTGGAAGGCCATCAAGCTTTTGTGCAAGTAGCTTGGAACCCGGATCTGCCGCATCTTTTAGTTCAAGTACGGCCATGGAGCTAGTTTCTTACCCTTGGAAAAATCAACGCGCCCGGAGGTCGATGCCAGTATTTCTATACTTTCCTGGATGTCGCATAGCTTCTCAAGCTGGATACTTTGTCCGAGTCGGCCTACAGAAGATGACCGTGTCGTAATCGAAATGGCGCCATGTTCAGTCTCTGGGAAATAAGGACGTATGTCGTATGCTTTCGAGACTGTCCCGCGAACATTAGACTCCGTGTCCGTCACAACGCATCGCGTAGTCTGTTTCGAGCTGTCTTGTGTACGGAACTCGACGTCGTCATAATTGTCGTAGACCAAAAGCCATCGATTATTCTTTGGGTCCTCCAGCCACCGTTTGACTGCCGCCACCGTCTCATCGAGGTCTCTGCTGTTTACGGCGTTCTGGACGTACATGACGGACGCGTTCCCGCTCGCAATTCGTTGGGCTGCTCGTTGGTAACTCTGCCTCAGGGCAGTCTCGTTGCTTGCGTCAAACCAGATCACCGCGGAGTAATCATGTCGATGTTGTTTCGCGTACGCTATCGTCGTCTGGGTCTTCCCCACACCGCCCAGGCCATGCACAACAACGGTCCGACGATTCCCAGTCCACTTCAACGCCTCGTGCAGGCGTCCAAGCTTTGCTTGTCTGGCGACGAAGTTGTTTACGCTGTTGACTCCTTGCAACTTAAACGAGAGATTGTGCGTATGGGTTGAATTAATGGGTGGTCTGCATAGGTTCTAATTAATTTCTGAAGGCTGGCGGGCAATTGAACCATGAGAGGGAAATTCTCACCGCTGCACCTCATCCACCGGCAAGTGAAAGAAGAGCTGTCGAGCATACGCAGCGGCCGCAGCGGCCGCATACCCGTGCCACTTATCATTCTTATGCGAATCACAGTAATCAGAGATACCGCGGACGATAAGACAAGGAAATTCGGCGATCGCTCCCGCGCCTTCCATCTCAAAGCATAAAAGCTCATGTTGTTGAGCGAGCGCGTCTCTTAGCCTTGCATCCTTCACCACCAGCTCCCCAGATGCAATGTTGCCTCTATGAACTATTACGTACGTCTCGTCGTCGTCACTTGCTCTGGATATGCGCTTCGATGGGTCGCATACGACTGTACAAGGCTCTCCCTGTGTCGTATGGGCGTATTGTGGCGGGTAGAGATAATCGTTCATCATACCGGGATACTGGAACCGTCGCAGGCCACGACGCCTTGTGTTAATCCGGCTGACGTTCTGCTGCACCGGGTCGATATCCAGTCTTGCTCGTTTTGCCTCTAAATCCTGCGCGGCATTAAGAAGAACTGCCGGCGGCGGTGCTAGGGCCCCTATGCGTTGGAACTGGCCATCCCTCGCTTTCCCATGATCATACTGTAGAGCGCCTCAATGGCCAGCCGTAGGCTTGCTCACCACAACATGACCTAGGCGTATTATCCCGTTATCTGTTTCGACTGGAACTCCACCGCCAATACCAACCAGGAGACCGTACCTGAGACTAGGAAACGTCATCCTCATTTGTGCTACGACCGTAGCCGCGGGACAGTTCCCAGGTTCGTATAAGCCAGCGATGACGATGTTGTGGCCATTGATGGACCCCAGACTGTAAACGTTATGGTCCGCTGGGGATTTTGGCAGGGCGGGATGTTCATCATCCAGCATCTCCAATGCAGCGATCTGTTCCACCTCTAGCGGACAGATCCATGCCACCTTGTAGTTATCGTGTCTCCATTTCTGTGCCATCTTTTCGATTGTCCAACTCTATCCTCGAATTGTCCGATCGGCCATTCAGCGATATGAGAACTCTGCGACACAGTTAGACTTTTGAAACGTTGGAAGTGGTGAGCAAGGACTTTGAAATGACATACTAATTACCGGAGGTGAGGGGGGAACGTCAAGGTTGATGGTCGCCCCCTTGCCGGACCGTTGGTTGTAGGGTAGCAGGGGATCTCGTCTTGCCGCCAGCATTGTGCGGCTGAGCATCACACCCCTGGCGAATCACAGTGGAAGAGGCTGCCAGGTTCCTCAGCATGTTTATACCGACCGTTTGATGCACCTGCACCGGACTTTGAGATTTCTTGCTGCGTACAGTGGTTGGGACTGCCAAATGCCTACATTCTGGGTGAACTTGAAGTAGGTGGCTCTTCCCTTTTGCGGGGAGCCTCTACAGTAACCTACGAATCATCACCGGATATCGATGTCACGGGCTGGAAAGAAAAGCAAGGAACATAATCTGCATGCATCAATGCATGTTGGATATATCCATGCACCCAAAAGTACCCAAGAAAGATAAAACGCTTACACATTACCATCATACCCCATACAACGACAACCGCCCTTATCATCTTATAGTCTACTGGACCTCCCCTCATCCATTATCGCACCGCTCATCACAGGAGCCAGCTGCTCACCCAGGACCAACCTACGCCCACCCTTGGTAGTCCACCAAGCGACACCGATAGTAGCCCTCTCGACGTCCATCTCGCCGCTGACGAGCACCTCCCAGAAGCGGTCCTTGACAGGCTGACGCAGGACGGGGTCGGCAATCTCATTCATCGATTGCGCGGTCAACGTCAACCAGTCCTCGACCAGGGGCAGAGGTAGGAATGGTAAGGAGTCGATGAGCGTCAAGACAAGTGAGCTCTGTTCTGACATGGGGTCCTGAGGCGAAAGCCCCTTCTCGGCCTGGTTGATAACGTCCTGGGTCAGGGGGAGAGGGGCGGTGTCCGCGTCCATGGCCTTGAAGCGGACCATTTCCAAGAGGGTTTCGGAGAGCTGCGGCTCGGCGAGGGAGATGGGGAACGGCGGGGAGACGATCTGCATGACCGTCTTGAAGGCCACACGGAACTGGCGTGTTGAGATCTGCGCCGGGAAGGATGCGAAAAGGGCGTCGACGTAGAACGGAACGAGGCCGACCGTCAGCGAGCTGTTGTGAGGGCAAGACAGCACAGACAGCGTAGCGCTGTGGGCGGATTCAAAAAGCTCAACCATTGTGGACGTCAGGCCGCCGGTATGGGTGAGGTAGGCCGTCGCGGGGCGGACAATCAAAGCGTCACACGCCTCTGTGGGCATGTTGAGAGGCAAGTGTTCCGCCACGTTCAAGTAGAAAAGGTCCAGAGTCCTATCATAAAAGCTGGGAGGGACCGTCCCGGCATGAGGGGGCTTGGTCTCTTCCAAGAACGCAACGCAGGCGTCTGGGAAGCGTGCGAGGATATCCAGACTTGTCAGGTAGGTGAACTGGTAAGCCTGGAATGCGTTGGCTCCTTGTCGTGAAGAGATGAAGAATAAGTTCCTCAGGGTGAACAACGCCTTGGTTGCCACCTGGGGGGCGATCGCGTCGTTTCTCATGCGCGGGTCAAGAAGACTCCGGCCGACGATGGCTTGCATGACGGCAACCGTCGCATACATCGTCTTCTTCAGCAACTGCCACAAAGCCGGCCACGTCGCCTCCAGCGTATTCTGCTCCAACCGCGCCGTCTCTTCGGCGCCGTCAACCGTCGATAGAGGGTTGTGCTGCCAGTACCGCAGCATCTTTTGTGTAAACTCCATCAAAGCATCCTGAGCGTCGAGCACGACTGCCGAGTCAGTCGCATTGGTGGCAGCGAATCCTGCCAGCTTTGACAACGGTCCCATGCCGCCCATCAGGGGCTTGCCCTCTATGGTCTGCAGCAGCGCAAATGAGGGAGAGGTGGGAGGCCATGCAACCATTTGTCCGTACTGCTGCACGTCCTTGCGGATATCATCCAAGAATCGGCCATCCTGAAAGCCGTCATCCCCGGTGATGGCCAACACCACGATCGGTAGAAGCGCGTTGCAATTAATCACGCTCTGGTGAAAGTCGGAAAGAAACGGAAAGACGTAATTCAGCGCCAGAACCACAGAGGCCGAGGCGAACGGCCCGTCCTGACGTTCCAAAGCGAGGTTTGCAGCCGTGACAACGGCTTCCTCCAGCGTATTCCGCAAGCCCCTCGACAGAGATTGTCTATCATTCGCCTCCATTCCCATCAAGACGCCTGTCAAAACCAGGAGATGCTGCCATCGATTGGACCGATCGTCCGCGCCCTTGGCAACGGCGCGCACCCATGTGTCGCAACCGAGGCCCCCGCCCTGCCGCGGGCCATGAACATTTTTGGCGTTATCGATCTCGTTCTGTCGCACTCGTATCGCGGCGCTGTTGTAGATGCTGATGATGCGCAAGCTCGTCCGTAGACCGTCGCGACGTTGCCAAATCGCAGGCGCGGTGAGAAGCTGGGAGGTAAGGACGCCGAGGTTCAGCGGGTTCGAGAGCGTCGTCAGGAGGGTCGTCGTAGAGCCGACTATCTGGTCCGTCTTGCGATCATCGTGGACGTTTTGGTACAGTTGCAGGACCGTGTTGAGGAGTCTGTCCGCCGGCATCTTGAGCTACAATCGCGACGGCTCACCAGAGGCTGGTGCGACTGTCAGGATGAGATTGAATGGGAGGAGCAGCGGAAGCGGCCGTTGTTGGGTCGCGGTGATTGTAATCGATGGTGCCGATGCCGATGGCAGGACGTCGGGACTGGCGCGGGCGTTTTTGCCGAGGCACCTGAAGTGCCCCTAAAGCCACACCTCAAGCTTCCCTCAAAGCTGCGCCATCCCTGCAACATCCCACAGCCAACCCCGGTAGTGACGATCAGCAGCTGCAATCACTGCGCCTCCAAAGCTCACCAAACCCACCGACTTTCAACATCTCGTCTTCTTTCTCCCGTCGAGCCCCAGGGCCGCCGTTCAGCAATGTCTTCTCGGGCGCAAAATTACCCGCCGACAAACTACAAGGTTCCGTCGTTTCCGAGCATCAACTGGCAGCTGCGGGACCTCACGGACGACCACCGCTGGAGCCTCTTCTACATCCGCGACATCTGGCGCTTCACGGTGATATGGACCTTCATCATCTACGCCGCGGTGCACATGGGCGCTGCCGCCATTACGATCGCGATGCACACAAACAAGCGCGGGTCGCTGACCTACCTATGGGCGGTGCCGTTGTTCTACGCCTTCGTGGCGGGCGTGCAGGCGTTGTGTGCTGGGAGCGTCGTCGGGTTGATGTAAGTGCAAGCAATGTTCCGTCGACGACACAGCGTAGCTAACCCACGGCTTTGCAGTCTCGGTGCAGTCTACAACGCCGGCTACTTCTCGATGTCCACATGGGTCCCCCTTCTCTGGGGCGTTATCAACGTCCTCGTCCTCATCATCTCGTCCTTTTCCATTCAGGGCGGTCTTTGAACATACACACAAACACGAACGGGCATGTTGAACAAACGCGTAAAGGCATTAAGACTACATAGTAGCGCTATAATTGATGGTGGCCGATAACCCATTTACCGCGCCGTTCGTCGGCTTCGACGGCGTAATCTCCTTAATGACACGCGCCGGGTTGCCAACGACGACGACATAATCCGGCACGTCCTTGGTCACGACGCTTCCCGCCCCGACTGTCACACCCTTTCCAATGGTCACGCCCGGCAGCACGATGACGTTTCCACCGATCCAGCAATCGTCGCCGATGGTGATGGGCTTCCCGCTCTCCGGCCCGCGGGTGCCGTTGCGGAGCGTGGGATCGAGGGGATGTGTGCCGCTGTAGAAAGAGCAGTTGGGGCCAATCAGGGTACGCGAACCGACTGTGATGGTACAGGTGTCGATCCATGTACTGTTAGAGTTGACATAGACGTTTTGGCCGAATCTGCAGACGGTAAGACGAGACACAAGACAGGTTGCGAGGGGCCAGATGCGTACTTTACGTTGTAGCCATAGTCCATCTTTATCGGGGCGTCAACCCACGGCCAGTCTTCCAAGATGGCGTCGTCCTCGTCACGGCGGGCCCGCGGTGGAGGAAGAGGGATTGTGTCCCCGTTGATGCTGTTCTGGGTTAGGTCTACATCTCAAGACGGGAAATAAGAGCCGAGGGGTTGGCTTCAGGGTTGCCGAGAGAAATAGAGTAAAATGGAGGCGGAACTACTCACTCCTTCCACATGCCGACAAGCGTGCGGCGGCTCACGTCACCGGCGTTGTTGAACCTGGTGCAGGCGGCCTGGCAGCGTTTCCGATCCGCAATGAGATCCGGGGTGAAGGCATGGTAAAGCTCGCCATTCTTCATCCGCCGGCGGTTCTCTTCCCTGTCGATGGTGCGGATGTCCATGGTTTTCTTGTGCATGAGTGTGGTGAAAGGGGGGGAAGGCGACGGCTTGTCGGTGTAGTGTATACTGTACTGCAGAATACGAGTGAGGTGATTTATGTAAGAGGGCGGTCAAGAGTCGCGTTCCTACTCGTTGAGCAATGAACAAGGAACAACGCGAAGCGAGATGAGGAGCGAAGACTGACGAGACGGGCAGGACCAGACGAGGGGGGCAGCAGGCGGAGCAAGCCAAGATGGAGAGAGAGATATGCGGTGCAGATAGGTGGTGTAGATCGGGTTGCAGAAATAGAACCTCCAAGAGATAAAGGGACCAACAACAACTTTTTGTGTAAACGGAGAGAAGAAACAGAAACCAAACACGAGAGACCGAAACCAGCCCTATGACAGATTTGTCTCTTGTTTTCCCTTTTTCTTTTTTTACTCCCCCGCCAGAAAAAGAATTAAACACCGCAGTGTGACAAAGATCTCGGGAGTTATTTGCCGGCCGTTTCGAGCTACAGTAGTCTATCTGCTCTTCGAAAGTGTACCCATGATCAGAAGAAGAGCAAAAGTCCAGGTCCAGCGTCAGTGTCGGTGAGCCCGAACACCCTAAAATAACGAGAGCCCAGGTGCTTACGACTAGGCGGCGACATGCTGCCTGCACCTGTTGCTTTCCGTGCTCTCCCTGGCCAAGGGCCCAAAGCGCAATGTACAGCATGGAAACCTGGAAGCAAAAACTAGAGCGGCGGCAGCATCAGCAGCGAAGACCGCAGGAGACATGGAGCCACACGGCAGCGACAGACAGACACAGACGACGACTGATGGGGGCAGAATAGAGTAAAGGTCCACGCACTTGCGTCATCCGCCCCTGACCTTCGGCCCGCGCTGGGCGCTTGGCCTTACCCGTCCCACCCGTCCTGTCCTCCAGACTTCCAAACACGCAGTGCACACCCACTGTTTATTACCGTTTCCCTCACCGAAGTGGTCACCGGAGACGGCGTTTGTCCTTGTGGGATTCACTGAAAGAGGGAATGCAACGACAAAGTCCGCCTGCCCAGGCTGAAGTGGGACCTCGGAGTCCCTTTTTGCATGCCGACTCTCTCCACAAACTCCAACGTCGAGTCCCCCCTTTTTTCCCTCTCTTTGGTCCATCTCTGCTGATCCTCTTTTGCTGTCCACTCTGTCATTTTTTTTGAGCCTCCACGTCGCAAGATCCGAGCATTACAGCGCAACCGAATCCGCCCGCTGCAGGGAACAGACTTCCACCAGCTCTTCGACACAGTTGCAGTGCCAGAAGCGGGCGATTACTCACTCACAACACCTCTCTCTCTCTCTACGCTTTGAACTAGGGCTGAACAGGATTGTCGAATAGAAAGAGGATATCCATACGCACTCGAAAGGTACAGATCGAGGTCGTTCATGCATGGAATGACGGACACAAGGAGCTAGAGCCGCCCGCCACCCTTCTCCGTCCCTGCCAACCCCCCTGCCTGACCTGACCATCAGGTACCTGTCCTCAAAGTGTCACGGCCTCTTCCTACCGTCCCCGCGTCCCGCGGCCCCCAGTCTAAGGCGGATTCTAAACCGTCGAGTGCCGACACCCACCACTACCACCACCTCCTCCTTCTTGACATCGGATCGTTGAGGCAAGCTAGCTAGCTCTCGCCAACGAGGCACACGACATACGCACAATGACAAGCTTTCGTCGGGTGTAAGTAGCAGCCCCAGGCCCCCTCCACCTCCCTTGGTCCCGTGCTCCCTTCGTACCCGCCCCGATCTCGCCGTGAAATCTCCGTCCTCAGACCCTGACCTACCTGCCTTGCTCTCACCCCCTGGACGGCTCTGCTCCCGCACAGCACATGCAACCCTTTCCTCGACCCCTCAACACCAAAACCCCACCATCACGATGTCCTCCCGCAGACACGTGAACCCCCTCTACCAAGACCCTCCCAGCTTATTGAACCACCACCACGATGACACCCCATCATCATCACCATCTCCAGAAACTGACTCTCTTCCCAGCGACTCCCGCCCCGCGCCTGCTCCCGGCACACCCGCGCCCGTGGGACAGGAATTCTACCCCCACCAGCGCAAATCCCTAGCCGGCATCGCCCTCCGCGCCTTCTGCCTCGGCGCGGCCTTCCTCACCGGCCTCCTCTCCACCGCCCTCATCCTCACGACGACCGCCTCCCCGCTCTGGCGCCTCCCTTTCTTCCTCGCCGCCCTCTCCCTTTTCCACTTCCTCGAGTTCTGGACGACCGCCGCCTTCAACACGCCGCAGGCTACCATCCACGCCTTCCTCCTGACCGCCAACTGGCCCGCCTACGCAATCGCCCACGCCACCGCCTTCGCAGAGTGCCTCCTCACGAACGTCCTCTTCAGGGACTCCGTCTGGGCGCCTTTTGGCTCGAGACACTTGCTCATGGCCGCGGGGCTGGCCCTCGTCGTCGTCGGGCAGACGGTGCGCTCCATGGCCATGATCACCGCTGGCGAGAGCTTCAACCACACCGTGCAGCACTACAAGACCGAGTCGCACAGGCTCGTCACGGCCGGCATCTACGCGTGGTTCAGACACCCGTCCTACTTTGGCTTCTTCTGGTGGGCTATCGGAACCCAGCTGGTCATGGGCAACGTCGTCTCCCTGCTCGGCTACGCGGGCGTGCTGTGGTTCTTCTTCTCCAAGAGGATACGCCATGAGGAGGAGCTCCTGATTAGGTTCTTCGGCGACGACTATGTCCAGTACCGCAAGCGCGTCGGGACATTGATTCCGTTTTGCGGATGATGGGATGGACGTATTCGTCAAGTGTGTCATTATGTGTAAGATGGTGTCAAAACAGCGCCAGTATTATATTTTTTTCTATAACCCAGTAGATAAGATACATGAGAAATGACGGGTGAGCGCCTTCCCGGCCCTCGTCTTTATAATTAAACAGTCTAAGAACTTCTCGCGCAGGCCATCTGTCTACTCACGCTGCCGTACTTGGCCTGCCAGGCGTAAAAGTACATGAGCGCGGCGAACGGCTGTCCGAGAATAGTGAAAGAAACCCAGAAGATGCAATTGCCGATCATCTTGCCCGTGGGCGATTGCATCTTTTCTAACGGGGTGGTGAGGGCGATGAGAGGGAGTTGGAGGAACATGCCGGCAAAGGCGACGCCTAGTCATGATTAGCTCCTTGCTGCGATCGGGTTTTGATACATGACTTACCAATGACGTTGTGGGTCGGAATACCGACAAGAACCTCGTGAAGCACCGCCGAAGCAAAGAAAACAGCGAGTTGAGCCGCCCTGGGACTCCAGCCACGGCCGATCAAGGGAGAGTAGACGTGACGCTTGAAGTACGTGTATACGGGCTTGTTCCACAGACGCCAGTAAGCACCCAGACTCTCACTGTTCCACCAGTCCTCGTAGAAGCAACGGTCGCCAAAGCGGGTGACTTCGGCGAGGGCGTTAAGGAATGACTGGAAGAGGGCGAAGAAGCCGGCGAGCCAGATGACCAGGGAGATGGTGGAGAGCTTCATCAGTCGCTCCAGAATCTTGGGCACATCCAACGATGCGATCTTGTCCAGGGAGTTGATCAGAACCGGGGCAGCGTACTGGGCGCTGGCGAACCAGATGAAGACGCTCAAGCCAAAGACCTCCGCCATGCGCTTGCCGACAAACACCCATCTGATCTTCTCGGTTCTCGGGTACGCAGGCTGGTAAACGAGCGTGGGCGCCCACCAGAAGTAGCCCAAGTTGCCCATCGTGATGTTGTTCGGATAGGGGCACTTTGCGTAGATTTCGGGCATGGCTGCCAGCTCGCCCTTGACGGGGTGCAGGAAGGCATGTCGAAGGTCTCGGTTCGTGAAGGCGTACGAGGCCGTCTTGAGCCACACGATGATGGCATGAAGCTCGGTCAGGGTGCCGATCAAGGGGTGGTGGATGTGGAAGTACACCATGTATGTCGTGATGGCCAGGGCGAGAGTGATGTTCACGGCGTGGATCCAGGCAATGACCTTCCATGTTGCGTTGAACCGAGATCGTTGGTCTTCCGTTGGGCTAGCGGCGCCGTCCTTCGACTTGGCCCTCAGACCCCTAGCCTGTTGAGCAGCGGCCAGTTCGATGAGGTAGGCGGCGAACAGATGGCAAGGGATGAGGGCGTAGAGGCCCAGGCCAAGAAGCACATCTTGTCTACGGAAGTCGTGGCATCCAATACAGATCAATACCCCATACTACGGCATGTCAGTGACGTGACTAGGATTACTGTGGGAGTGCGCCTACTTTTTGGATGTTCTCAATCATCAGACGAAGATTGCCGACAACTGTATCAAGTCAGCCAAGGGCGTCAAGCCGCAGTGTCGTCGATGAACATACTTAGTACGATTACCATTAAGTTCCTGAAGCCTAGGAAGCTAGGGGCGGCGTTGGAGTCATGGCTCAGGGTGGAAGGGCGAACGCTCTTGTGAACGGCGGCAACGTGTCTGTATTTCCGTTGGACCGCTCTCCTCAGCTCCTCGGTCGAGCGCTGGTTGTCGGAAGCGGAGGCGGAGACGGACGACTTGGCGGACTTCGGCTCGGGTCTGCCATTGCTCGTGTTACGCAGAGTGGTGGTCATGGTTGAGCTCTCGACGCTCGTCACGGTGGCCGTGTTCATGACGGGCAATGCGTCCTGAGCGCAATTGAGGCCGGTCGAGAATGAAGCAATGGGAGGAACAGAGGACGACAGGAAATAGTGCCACAGTGGTGGATGACGACGGGGAGAATGGGTGAAAGTTTAAAAAGGGTGAGGAGACCTAATGGCGAGGAAAGCTTTGTATATGCAATGCAGGGAGTGAGTGGCAAGCGTAACGATAAGATATCGGAGCAATATGCAAGACACCAGACCAAGGCCGGTCGGAGCCAAGAAATTACCAATTGACTTCTTAGCCGGTGTTTCCAAGGGCAGACACGCAGAGAGGCCGGCGCTTTTGCGATTCGATCCGAGCTCCCTAAGCTTGGAGGGGAGCTATCTGGGATGGGTGAGCGCATTGGCGTCGAGCGTGGATTGGATGAGGAGGGGCACGTCGTGCGTGCGAGGGGGGGGATCTGAAGCCGCAGCCAGCAGAAAGAGGGAAGGGGGTACGTCAAGGCACAGGGCAGGGGGAGACACTGGGCTCGCTCGGGGAAGGGGGCGGAAAACAGGTGGAGGAGGCTAGGCCGACGCCATCAGCCCTTGATGCGTGGGGATTCGCTGCTCGACGTGTAGGAATGAGGGAACAGGAGGCGCGCTGACGACAAGAATGCAGCCGGCGTGCAGAACGGGCTTGTCGAAGTCGGAGAAGAGAGACAAAATTTCAGAGACAGCAAAACAAATGAGGGTGATCAGAGGAGTTGACAGCCGAGAGCTCCTGGCGAACTGGATGGACCGATGGAAGCACGGCCCCAAGGATTGCAAAGATTGGAAGGGGGGACCTTGAGAATGTCAGGGTCGCCGAACCTGTCCACTGAGGTGACAGCACCCACGGCAGCCAAGGTCCTCGGGTCTGGATTGCATTTGCAGCACGCACTTTGGCAGCAACAGCGGGCAGCCGGGCCAAATCACCTTGCTGGGAGCTAACGCTACGACGAGAAAAGCGGCATGCATGCGCTCCAGGGGTGCTACGGCTCCACGGATAGCGACGGCGATCCCCGTGGAAGCTCTGAGTGGTGGGACACGGGGCTTCGTGGGGCGTCCATGAGAGAAATTGAAGAGGGAGCCGTGGCTGAACTCTATCACATGCCAAAATGAAGGGGTCGCGGCATGGCATTTCTTGCGGCTAGGCAAAAAACGATGGGTCATGGGCCGTACCTAATTATCACCTCATTCTGTCGACGATAGAACGTGGTCTGAAGAAGAAGACTTCGGAGAATATAAAAATGGAAGCATCAGGCCCGATGTTGGCCCGGATAAGCAGGCAGTTGGCGCCGATAAGACAAACCGTGAAGCTAACGCACGCCACCACCAGTATTATGTGACACCACAGAAGCCACGAGGGAGGTACGTACCTTCTCGACCTTGGCTCCAGCTCAATCAGCCTCAAGGTCATGTGATCTCGAGAGAATGGATCGGGCCCGTGCACGCGTCGCGGTCATTTTCAGTGATTGGCGACGGCCTCGTGGATCACCGTCAAGCAGGAAGCATCCATCACCACCTAAACGTGCCAGGTTGCAACAGAAATAGCAATCGACTTCGGACTAGTATAACCACGCTCCACAAGACCGCATTTCTTTACTGCACGTGTCAGCGCATGGGATTTTAAAGATGGCCTACGATCCTCGTGGGGATCATCACGACAGGCGAGGGCCGCCAGGAGACGGTCAGGACGGAGGCTTTATTAGAGCTAGAGGACGACGTGAGTTGCCCTCTTCGACGAAATCGCAATCTCGGTGCATGATGGGAATGTTTGAACTTGCGTGGATTGCGGACACGTGCAGGGCATCATCTCTCCGTCAGGCTCACGTGGAGACTTGAGACAGACCAGATGCTTTAGCAGAACCGCTGACACCGTGTTCAGGTCCCGTAACAGATTATGGCTCAACCGTCGCACACTGGATGCGCAATCGCGCGCCGGCAGACGGAGATGTCTACACTGGCGAGGCTGAGAGGCCAAGTGCGAGCTTCATCGTCGATGTCAGTATTGCATCTCTCATAACTTCATAAGCCTGCTAACATATCTCAGTTCACACCTCCTTCAGCCAGAAGAACAGATCCTGGTGATTCGATACCCGTGAAGCACCTTCATTCATCACTGAACAAGATCAAACATCCTATCAATGTCGTCCGATGGACACCAGAAGGCCGCCGTCTCTTGACGGCTTCCTCCAGCGGAGAATTCACATTATGGAACGGCACCGGATTCAACTTTGAGACCATCATGCAGGCTCACGACTCCGCCATTAGAGCGCTAGCATACTCTCACAACGACGACTGGCTCATCTCCGCGGACCACGACGGCAGCGTCAAGTACTGGCAGCCTAACTTTAATAACCTTCAGAGTATTGCTGCACATAACGACCCGATCAGAGACCTCGCCTTCAGCCCGAACGATTCCAAGTTCGTCACGGCATGCGACGACTCGACATTGAAGATTTTTGACTTCGCAGGTGGAGTCGAAGAGTCGGTTCTCAAGGGGCACGGCTGGGACGCCAAGAGTTGTGATTGGCATCCCACCAAAGGTTTGTTGGTGTCGGGTTCAAAAGACCACGTGGTTAAGCTGTGGGATCCGAGAACCGGCCGCTGCTTGACGACGCTTCACGGCCATAAGAACACGATTACCAAGACGCTCTTTGAGCGAGTTCAAGGAGATTGCCTTGCAACCTCAGCAAGAGACCAAACTGCCCGCGTCTTCGATCTCCGAATGATGCGAGACATTTGCTTGTTGAAGGGACACGAGAAGGACATCTCAACCATCGCGTGGCATCCCGTTCACTCGAATTTCCTTAGCACTGGTGGACACGATGGCTCTCTATACCATTACATCCTAGACGAGCCGAACACGCCAGCTGGCCACACCACCATCGCCCCGTACGACAGTTCGGACCCAACCACAACTAGCGCCCAGACCATCTACCCAGCTCATAAGGTCCCATACGCACACGATTTCGCGATCTGGTCTCTGGACTGGCACCCGCTTGGTCACATCCTGGCTTCTGGCTCGAACGACCGTATCACCAGGTTCTGGTCCAGAAAGCGGCCGGGAGATTCCGACGTCTTCCAGGACAGGTATCACATCGGAGAGGCGGCGGCCGAGGCTCAAGGAACCTGGGACCGTCGCGGAGGTCGTCGCCAAAGACAGGAAGAAGAGGAGCAGGAGATGGAGGACGAAATGGACGGCCTCGTCGACCAGAAGATGCCGCTCAAGCAGCCAGTTGTCCCTGGTTTCCTCGGCTTGCCTGGGTTGCCTGGCCTGCCCGGTCTATCTATGCCACCGAATGGCGCTGGCGGGCCTCCGGTACCGCCACCACCGATGATCCCAGGCGTTGGCGCAAACGGTGGAGCTCCCCCGCCGCTGCCGTTCCCTCTACCAGGCTTGCCTGGCCTGAACGGGGCTCCGCCACCGCCTATCCAACTGCCTGGTGGCATAGACCCGAGCAATCCTGCCGACCTTGCAAAGATCGCCGAGATGATCCAGAAGGCCGGAGGCACGCTCCCTCCTCCACCGCCCGGCGGTTTCCCTCCCGGTATGGTCCCGCCGCCAAATTTTGTAACACCACCCGGATTCCCTCCCATGCCTATGCCGCCGCCCGGAGCTGACCTTAACGGGCACGACCGCGGGGGCAGGAGAGCTCCTTTGCCCAGTCAGGAGGAGAGTCTCAAGGCGGAGCAGCGACGCGGCAACTATACGAGAATTCGTTAGTCACGTGGCAGTACTCAGGGCAGATCTTTAAGTAAATCCAAGGAAAGGTCCAAGGAAAGATCTCAGGACAAATCCCAGGACAGATCCCAGGCGTAACCAACAACTGCAAATTGGACAGTCACCTTGGTGTGAGAATAGTAAATACGAAAAGGGAGAAGGGCAGTGGTGATACCCTAGTGTTATAAACAAAGTTAAATAACACATGCTTGCCCGGATGTCTCGTTTGATCGTTCGCTGTGTTTCAAACTGTATTATCTCTCCACGCTAACCTGACAAGAGAACAGGATACTGGCGCAGTATTGTCTTCCGGCCTGAAGAATTATTACGCCGGGTGGAAGATACTGCCATGCATGCAGCACTTCCACAAACATGACAGCAAAATGGCTTGCGGATCATGCGTGTTAGTTTCCCCAACCAAGACTGCCCATATCCAGTTTGAAAAAGATCGCTTGTGATGTAGTGGCAGTCCAATCAACTGTCTAGCCGTCGGGCCTATCTAGTGTACATGTATGTGTCGCCGCCAGCAAACCACACGCCCTACGGTCCCGCTCAGATGCTATCCTGCGATGTTCCCCAGATGGGTTTCCTCGTTTGTGCTCCTCTCTCCGAGGGTAAATGTACAGACATGAATGGAACTTCTTCAGATGGGCGACTTCCCCCATAGCCCTGGAGAATGCAGACCTCTAGATCGCAAACTCCCGCGCTCGCCTTGATGTGTTCTCAACCCAACAGCAGCCCTTCTCATTTCTTGGTGAAGGCCTTCTGCCTGTCGGCGTAGTCCCTCACGATGATGGCGCACGAGGCCTCGCTACACAGCCTCCTGCGACGCTGCGGAGCCAGCTTTGACGCAAACTCCAGACCGGCGGCGCGCTCGACGGCCTCCAACGGCATCTCGAAGTCGGAGAGCGGCTTCTCGTTGGGGATCACAGCGTTGGGCATAACGAAGGCGCCGATGGCGACGTTGCCGCCGGCCTTGCCGTCCTCCGCGAAGATGACCTTGTAAAAGTGCGTCGGCACGGCGACGTTGGGCGGGTTGCCGATGACCTCGTACTTTGTGTACCACTTGCCGTCGACGGGGTCGCGCTTCGGGAGGTACAGCGGGCCGGTGACGATGCGGACGGAGGGGTATCGCGAAGTCAGGCGGCGGCAGAAGTCCTCAAAGTGGGCCCAGTAGTCGCGGTTGAAGCCGTCGCCGACCTGGGGGCACATGTTTGTGAGGTAGAAGGTGTCGTCCATGGCGCGCTGAGACCACTTGCAGTCGGCGGCGGGGACCTGGTGGCCGCGGTCGTAGCCGCTGCGGAAGTAGTCCTTGAGCTTGGCCTGGAACTTTTCGGGGACGGAGGGGTCCTCGAGGAAGGTGCTGCCCTTGCGGTCGCCGCCCTTCTGGGCGAGGGAGGCGGGGGTGATGTGCTCGACGACCCAGTGGGGGTTGCGTGTGCGGCGGTCGAAGCTCGAGATGAGGCCCTCGCGGGGCGCAAGGTCGGCGACGGGGCCGGGGAAGCCGTACTGGAAGAGGCCGGCGGGGTCGACGATGGCGCCGGGGATGGCGCCGGGGATTGGCGGGGGCGCCGACGGCAGGGGTACGTTGGGGTTTGCTTTGTTGTCGAAGACTTGGGCGCCCGGGACGGGGACGGTGGGAGCGGTGGTGAAGGCGTTTGTTGAGGGCGCGGCGGTCATGGGCGCGTCGGTGGCGGGCTGCTTGGAGCGGAGGCCGTACATGGCTGCTGTGACGGCGGCGCCGCCTCCCGCGCCTAGAGCCGCAACGAGGGCGATGGATGTTGCTTTCGACATGGCGGGCTGGGTCGCGGCCGGTATTCTGAGGGGATTCGAAAAGTAGTTTGTAGGAGGAAAGGAGAACGGAAACCGGGCGCCAGCGTCAGGCGGTTATGACAGCGACGACCACGGGTGTTGGAAGGAAGGGCACGTGGATCTGACCTGGTGGTGGTGTGGTGGATGTCTCAGTTGTGGTTCTTCACGGGACGGGGATTTGGAGCTCGGAGCTGGATAAAATTTTGGGCTTGCGACGGCGCTTGGTCCGCCGACTGCACCGATCTCACTTCTCCAGGGCCGCCGATCGGAAGGAGGAGCTCGTGTGGGGCTTCCGCTGCAGATGTCCCGAGCATTTGCCGACAGCTGGCAGGTGCGAAGGCGGGGATGAGGATTGGAAGGATTTCGGGGTGCAGGCTGAGGGGCTGGAATGGGGCTGGCCTCGGTGAGCGTGCAGTCGCTTCACCGAGAGACGAGGCTCCATGCCCCCAAAAAAAAGCGGATGACAAAATGCCAGCCTCCGATTCGCGGTCTGGGCAAGACCCTGCGATGCTCAGAAAGTTTCTTTGGATCCATGGTCCCTACCTAAAATAACGACAGCCGTCAAAACAGCAGCAGTCTTCCCTCCTTTCACATGTGTTGGCATCTCCCTAGCATGCGCTTCGGGCGGCTTCAATGAGCTGGCGTACATCGCCAAAGAGTCACGGGTCTCGAGGGAGTACGAGGATACCCGGCATGTAGCGCCATCCGGGTTCTCAAGCCAAGGCCATGGGTGTGTGTTGTCGACCAGCAGCTTGACTCGCCGCCGGGGGGATCCCAACAAAGCGGCTGACAACGTGCATCTTTTGTGTACAGTCTATTTTCTTCTGAATGACTGCACCTTGTAGAACAAAATAAAGTTTTGGAGAAACATATGCAGTTCGACTTCGACGCCGTCTTTCTCTCATTGAAAGAGCCGCATCGCCTGCTTGTGCGCCAAAAGGCAACAAAAGACAAAAGGTGGGTTGCGATCGGGGAGGGTCAGACGGCAAGCTGCAGGCAGGGCAGGGCGGCAGCCAACTGATAACGCGCAGGCAAGGGGAGTCCGAAGTGGAAAGTGGAAAGTAGATATGCAAAAGAGAATGGATGGGAAACAAGCTTTGTTTGGGCGTGAGACCTTTTCTTGCGTGAGTAGCTGAGTGACTTGTGTACTAGAGGAGGAATTTTGAGAACCTTGATGGCCTCGGTCCAGTCATGAACAACAGAAGGCCCCAGCCCCCAGCCCACTTCACTACCGCCCATGATCCATCACACAGAAACAACGCAGTGGCTCCAGAAAGCGCCAAATCCAGCGCCTCCGAATCCACTACTGCGTACAATCCGCGCTGCTGGAAAGCTTATGGTGCAAGCGCTCCCAGTTTACTTACACCAGTGAAGCCCCCCACCTCTCTGGCTGCGGCCCCAGCGCAAACCTGGAAAGCACGCCGCTCAGCGCCCAGTCCCATTCCATCTTATTGGCAGCCGTCTACATCACTACTCTCCCACCAACAACAATACCCTTTGCTTCCTCCAGCAACCTCTTCGACTTTCCCTATCCCTTCTCCCCTATCTTGCCTACCTCTTTGGACAATCTACCTACGATCAAGGTTCTAAACGCCTCTCCCGAAATCTACAACATCCCCATACTTATCCGCTCCCGTCTCCCGGGACCCTCGAACCAATATCCCACTCGTCTGGGTCTATTGCGCGCCGCAATACGTCACCCGCTCTCCTGCAGGACGAATCGAAGCCGCCACACCAGCACCTGTTCCCCAGGCACACCTAGGACTCTGGCGATTTTCCTAAATTGGGTCCAACAAATTGCGCTTCAACAAGAAAGACATCGAGACACCATTTCGCTACATGCGCTAAGGATCGCGATCGCAACAGGCAACCATTGGAGGCGCTGAGCCCAAGCCGCCCATCATGAAGGCGACAGAGATCGACAACGATACCAGGGGGTGGATCATGAGTATCGTGAGTGGAATTGGTAGGTGACAAAACTCCATGGATGTCTGAAGTGGAAATCTTGCTGACTGGTGTTTCTCGGCAGCTTGTATCGTAGGCGCGTCCGTCATTTGCATCGACATTTTGGTACGATGGCTACCAGGGCAGCGCAACTTCAGGATACAAGAAAGCAATGTCTTTCTCGCCAGCTCTTTGAGCTTGAGCTTCGGCGTTATGGTATGTCATTCCAGCAGCCCCATGCGCGACACCTCAGAACTATTACTAATACCACTCCCGGTCTCTAGCTTTACTCTGCGTTAAACAGCATGCTGCCATCATCAAAACAGTACCTTAAGGAGGATGGTTACCAAGACCAAAAGGCGGGCTTCATTATGATGGGCTGCTTTGTTGGGGGCTTTTTTGGTATACAGGTTATCTCCCGTCTGCTGCACCAGTACATGCCGTCGCATGTGGTTGATTGTGACCACACACACAATGAAGCCGATACTCGGTCACGCAGCCAGAGCAGAAAGACGTCTTTGTACTCGGGCAGTCGCCGATCATCGCGACGGCCCTTTGTGGAGAGCATCACTAAGAATGGCCACGCTACCGAGTCCACGCCTCTGCTCAATGGAGAGACGGCGCATGAGAACGGAGGATCCCTGATGCCGAAGGGACATACTAGGAGCGCCCTGGCCCTCAACACGACGCACTCGCACCCGCCGCGGATATCGCGAAGCCGCGGTGCGACGGTGGAAAGGCGACCCTCTATGCTTCAAGTCAAACAGCGGATCGCATCTTTCATGAATGACATGAAATCGAACTGCGATGAGGAGGGCCCTTGCTTTGGGTACTCCGATCCATGCGGCCAGGAATGTTTCAAGCATGTGGCCAACCGCTCAGCGGCCTCCTCGAGACACCCAACTATTGTGAGAACCAGCATCGCACAGCTGTACCCAAATAACTACAGCCATACCGATCTGACAGACTTGGAGGAGAGCGACTCTCAGTGCCATTCACCCATCAGTGGACAGGTACGGACCAGTCGGGCGGCGTCAAGAGAGCCCGTGCCATCACGGAATCACGTGGACCACGAAGCGCACGATCAAGATCATAGCCATAGTCACAGCCACAATCACAGTCATCATCACGACCATGACCACGAGGCGCACGGCGAGGACGGCGAGGAAGAGGATGTCGAGGCCCAACATCACCACCATGTGCCCACGAACGCGTTCATGTCACTCGGCCTGCAAACCTCCATCGCCATTGCGCTTCATAAGTTCCCTGAAGGCTTCATCACCTACGCCACGAACCACGCTAACCCGTCACTCGGCTTCAACGTGTTCATGGCTCTCTTCGTGCACAACATTACCGAAGGTTTTGCCATGGCTCTGCCATTGTACATGGCCCTTGGAAGTCGTCTCAAGGCCATGTTCTGGGCCGCCATCCTGGGCGGCCTCAGCCAGCCCCTTGGCGCTGGCATTGCTGTGTTGTGGTTCAAGCTCGCTAATCACACCCACATCAGCCCAACCCCAGTAGCTTACGCCTGTATGTTTGCCATCACAGCTGGCATCATGGTCAGCGTCGGCCTGCAACTTTTTGTAGAGGCGCTCAGCCTGAATCACAACCGCAACCTCTGCATATTTTTCGGGTTCATAGGCATGGCTCTGCTGGGTATCACTGGCGCCATTGCATCTACGCATTAACGGCATACGGGCTTTCGCATTGGGCATTTAAGTCATGCTCGAACGGTTCAGGGAGTCACAGGATCTGTCTTTTGGTTACGATTGGCACGGGCATACATACATTATACCAAGGCAGGTTTCAGATTCGGAAGGCTTTAATTGTGTTAGAATCATCACTACCGCTTCACTGTCATAGGCTTGGTTCCAATCGACTTGCTGAACAGCATTCCAGCGGCGCGTTATAGAGGGGGACATCAATTATGGGTTCAATGAAAATGAATGATTTCACTAGCGCACTTCGAGGTACCACATTCGTGACCGTAACATCCTAGCTCCTTTGATTTCATTTACATATATGTGTGACAAAGCAACAACTTTTAGTGATTCCCCATCCATCAACTTTTGGTGTGGCCTGTGGCCGGGTATCAATACGTCGTCAAAATCATATGTCCTTTTTCTACGCCATATTTCCCAGCGCCGGATCGACGAAGCGGGTGAAGTCTTCGTCAATGAGGGCGCGCATGGCAGCTTCCTCCTCTTGCCACGTCTGCGGCGGTGTGTTGAAGTCATCTGCGGCACCGATCCAGAAATCGTCGGTCTGGCCCTGGTCGCCGCCGGTGAAGTCCGTGACGCCGGGTATGATGCCGTACAAGGGCAGCTCCGGCATCTCACGGTTCTCGCCAAAGGGAGCGGCGCTCATGTCTTCTGAGCTGGAGGTGTCCGCCAGACTCAGGATTGCCGCTTCGACTTGGTCCATCTGTGGAGCCGCAGGGGGGTGGTTCTCAAGATGGACCTGGAGGTCGTGGTGGCGGATGAAGCGGGCGTTGCAGCCTTCAATTGCGCACTGGATGGTTCGCTTCGTGCCAGCGATGTCGTCAATGAGGTTTGACGGCCCCTCGGTGAGTTTAGGCTGCGGTCGCGGTAGACCTAGGTGAACGTGCCGAATGTGCTCTTCCAGCTTCATCTTGCTGATGAAGCCAGCACCACAACCCTGCTCATTCGACCAGCCCTCCAAGCCCGCAGTGCCCGTCACATCGAGCTCGCCGCAAACGACGCGGAATCCTTCGTGGGCAGTGCGGATATGCACCGTGAGGTTGTGCTTCTTGGTGAACTTCTTGTCGCACCCCTCCCAGGTGCAAGCGATCGTCTTGCGGGCCTCGACAGGTATGCCCGAGTGCCGCATCTCGACGTGCCGCTCCAGCTCCCACTGGCCGGTGCACTTGAACTCGCAAAAGATGCAGTTCAGGTGCTCTTTGCGGATGTGCGCCTGCAGCAGCGCGAACGAGGTGAAGCCGACCTTGGCGCCGCCCTCCTCGCCGCCGCACTCTTCGCACCAGAACTGCGGCTCGCTGTGTTCCCGCCGGGTATGGTTCCGCAGGGCGCCTTGGGAGTCGAAACCGGCGCCGCAGCCGGGTTCCTGGCAGGGATACGCGTGGGCGCCCAGGTGCTCCGAGCGGATGTGCCGCTGCAGTGTGTTGTGCTTGCGGAAGCTCTGGTTGCACGGGGGATATTCGCGGCAGCGGAAGCGCTCCTGGCCGGCGTGGACGTCCTGGTGGCGGCGCAGACGGGTTGCCGTCAGGAACGACTTGCCGCAACCATCGTGTGTGCAGGTGTATGCTCGCTCCTGGGTGTGGGAGCCCTTGACATGCTGGCGGAGGTGCTTCTCCTCGCGGTAGTCCTTGTCGCAGCCCGGGTAGGTGCACTTGAAGGGGCGATCGTCGGTGTGGGAGCGCAAGTGGGCGGCTAGGCGGGCGGGACGGTTGAAGGTTTTGTGGCAGTCGGGATACGTGCAGGGAATTGTCTTGAGGTCCGAGGGGAATTTGCGGGAGCGGGTGGTGAGGGAGGTCTGTCCCGTCAGAACCGTCTCTGCGTCGGCGTTGGCTGTCGAGGCGGAGTTGCTGGCCGTGTCGTCGAAGTCATCGTCGCTGAGGGCTTCCCGGGCGTCATGTTAGTGAGAAGAAAAAAACTTGGCTTACACCCAATTGCCAGATATGTGCGTACCAGTGCCGGCGGCTTCGGGGTCGTCAATCTTGGACCTCTTAGGTTCCGAGACGAGGACAGCCTCTGAAGCCTTCCTTTTCGTCATGGCGAGCGATTGGGGAAGGGCATGCCTTCCTTGACGATGGGGTGAAAAGTATCGTCTCAGAAACCAGCTCGTGAACTTATTTCTGGCAGAATATCGTCAGGCGGTGAGACGAAATTTTGTGCGCTCACCAGCCACATTGGAGAAGCCGGGGTCTCCTCGGTCCGGATAAGCATTTTTTGGTACTGATAAGGCTAGTGCAGACCCACATTCCAGCTGCTGAATCGCAGCCTCGTCAATAATTTTTTACGGCTGGATCCAGCAGAGTCAACTCGTCCCTCCCCGCGACACCTACAATTACGCGACGGAAGCTCGACCACCACCCAATTCCACTACGGCATCCTTCAGTTAACTGCACTCACCATCGATAAGAAACATGTCTGACTTTGGCGACGATGATGTTGGCGGAGGGTACGTCCAGACAGGTTTCCTGCATTGAGGAAGAAACGCGACTCTAACGATTGGCAGCGACGAGCCCATGTACGAGGACGAGGCCGCCGACTACTGGGATCCCGAGGTCCCCGTTGAGGACGAGGAGGTCGGGCGCGCCGAGGGCGACGAGGAGGACGCAGACAACGTCGTCGTGTCGGGCGACCCCTCTGCTGCGGCGAACTCTGGCAAGGGCAACGAGAAGAGCCACCGCGACAAGAAGATCCCCGATGACCAGCGCACGACCACGCCCTACATGACAAAGTACGAACGCGCCCGTATCCTCGGCACGCGCGCTCTGCAAATCAGGTACGACGGCGCCATTCTATTCCCACTTCACGATGCAGGCCATCGGTCGAGACTTTTGCTGACGCAGGGCCTTTTGTAGCATGAATGCGCCGGTACTCGTCGACCTGGAAGGTGAGACGGATCCTCTTCAGATCGCCATCAAGGAGATGCGCGAGAAGAAGATTCCTCTTATCGTGCGCCGATACATGCCGGACGGATAGTAAGTGTTGACCCCGGATGGACCCCCAACCCAACCCAATCCAACCCCCGCCCCCAGCCCTGCAGTCCACGCAAGCCTGCCCGGATGGACGATGCCGTGAGCGACGCAGGCTAACCGAACGTCAGCTACGAGGATTGGACTTGCGAGGAGCTCCTCCAGTGAGAGATCTTGGCTTTCTTTACCGGGGGCAAGAAGAAGACTACACGACTAGATGCAAGGCACTTATACCCATCTCTTATTGTCGTTGCCTGGAGGATAGTCAGATTCCCGAAGCTGCGCCCCTTCCGCGTCTACTCTCTTCCGGAGGTGTCGGCTCTTTCAGAATGCACAGGACAACGAAAACAAAGCTCGAGGAGACAAAAAGAAGAAGCAAACCCAACCACAACTTATAAAAAGAAGACACCAAAAGCAGTGTACTTTATTTGATTTGCATTGAGCGTGGCGTTCTCTAGGCAATTGGATTTCATCAAACTCTAAACACACAAGAAACAAAATTACATATCCGCAGTGAGGAAAACCAGATCCCCGCCCCATGGCATTCTTTTTTTGGGATGTTGCTCTCGTCGTGGATTGCAGTGCAGCGGCGGGTTCGTGAGAAACAGGATTACGTGTTTCCTCGGATCGTCGCTTCGAGTGGTCGCCTGCAGTGTAACGGGTGGGAGCGAGAGTGGTCCGGGGGGGACAAACACTGAGACCCCTCCCGAGGGACCCAAAGCACCTGCCCAACACGGCCGGTCTGGGCGAGTCAGACAGCACAAGCACCGATCGTGCATCCCATCCCGGGCCGCCTGCCGCCCGCCTTCCGGAGACCAGAGACCGGACCCGCTCCGGAGGACTTTGTGTGAATTGCGATCGACACAGAAAAAGCGTCGCCAACAGCCAAGCCACTCCCCGTCGTCCGAATTACACGCGTAAGGTTTGGCCAGGTTCACGTCTTTGGACATTTACGGGTCCTCGTTAAGTCGTTAGAGGATAGGGAAAGGTACTAACGCACCTCATGTAGATTGGTAGAGAAGGTTAACAAAAGAAGGTTGCCAAGACGGCTTCCTAACACTGTTTGGGAGCCACTTTTAATTGCTGCTTATGGCCGCCGACATGGGTGCTCTATCTAGGTTGAATACGTCTCTTTCGATCTGAAAAGCCAAGTGCAGCCGATCCGCGGTAAACACCTTCTTCTGCAAGTATGCTTCACCCAGCCTTGTTTACTGTCTTGGCGATGACGGTAAGAGGTGTCTTGGTGAGTTGATATCGTCAACTCTTTTGATGTTCGGCTCGGTCTCTCGCTCGTTCCCGCGAACGAGCCTTGACAGCGCGGGGAAACGAACGTCGCTTCTCACATTTCTCGTCGTCGTCTTCATTTTTCTGCTCGGACCTCAGGGGATAGGCCTGTTGGTTGCGTAAGACACTACTCATTCTTTTCCCCGCCATGAAATAGAGGAGCAGCAGAGATCGCAACGCGCCCACCGCCTCGTTAGGATTCTTCCGCTTCACGGGACTCGTCCGGTGCAGGTGATTCGGCTCGCTCGTGACGAAAACAAAAAGTGTGCCCTTACAAGCGTAGGGTTGTCTCTTTTGCTTATCCCCCACACTGTTCCCGAACGCGAGTGGAAGCGAAGCGGGAGGCTCAACTTATCCGGGCCTGTCAAAGACGCTTATCTCGTCACTCGGCTCGACGCTGTGTGTGTTGCTTCGCCTCAGACTCCGGGATCCATACCATGCAACCACGTTGGTCTGTCAGTACAAACTTCTCTTGGCCCACCTGGGGCCTAGCTTAGACTACAACCTCACAACCTTGACCCGTTTCTTTCTTTCTCCCCCCCTCCTCTAGAATAGAAAGCTGTGGATAAGGACGTTACGTGTCGAGCGTCGACGTGCGCAATCGCCATGAGTCCTCTGAGGTGTAGCGATCCCCTGGTTCGTAGGATTGGGGGCGCCGACTAGCTGGGTAGCTCTGCAGCAGCGAGCACACCATCTTTTCGGCAACGGCGCAGCGGGAGCTGTCGAGAACGAGGATGTGAAAGGCTTGTTTCCTGGTGATCGTCACCGCTGCTTAGGCTCGTCTCGGGCTTGGCTCGCAGATTGTTTTCGATATAAAAGAGCCTCAGAACTTCCCGTCGAAGGAGAGAAAAAAGATAGTTCGCGCCAAGCCAGCACGACACGAGCCGACAACTCCTCTCATTTTCTTTTGAATATCAAGCCAAACGCTCGCTTCTTGGCTATAGTCTTAATTTGTTGCCGCCTTCTCATCGTTCACGATGCTTTCCCCGTCTTCCATCCTCGCGGCGGCCGCTCTCCCGCTCTTGCTGGCGCAGTCTGCCTCTGCTCGTCTCATGCCGCGTGCGACGAACTACACCCAGGAGGCCGTCGACTCGGGTGAAGCACTCTCGGATCTTCACGCCCAGGCCTACAACAACGCTCTTGCGCGCCTGGCAGCGAATGGCACTTCCCAGTGCACCAAGGACAACGTCCGCGTTCGCCGTGAATGGTATGTTGCTATCTAGCTTGCCTCCTCGTTCCCCCTGACGAACGATACAAGTTGCTGACCAAGGTCGATTCGACAGGAGAAACATGCCTGGCGAGGACCGCATCGCTTACACAGATGCCGTCACCTGCCTTCAGTCCAAGGCCCCCCTTTACACCGACATCGCCGGCTCCAAGTCCATGTTTGACGACTTTGTGGCCCTGCACCAGAACATGACTGGTTACGTCCACATGTCGGTAAGTACACACAAGCTATCTCCAGATATGCTGCTCGCATACTTACCTCACCAAGGCCACGTTCCTCCTTTGGCACCGCTACTACATCCATACCTACGAGGAGAAGCTCAGCACCGAGTGTGGCTACACGGGTAAGTCAACCACAGAGTCCCCTCTACTTCGACAGCGACTGACACAAACCCAGGAACACTCCCCTACTGGGAATGGAGTCTCGACGGCGACGACCCGGCCTCCAGCCCGATCTTCGACGGCTCTGCGACCTCGATGGGCAGTGACGGCGCCTACGTCGCCCACGACGGCCTCGTCCTCAACAGCACCGAGCAGGTCATCACGCTGCCCGCCGGCACCGGCGGCGGCTGCGTGACGTCGGGCCCCTTCACCAACATGACGGTGCACCTCGGCCCTGAGGCGATGCCGAACCTCGGCTCCGTGGTGTCCAACAACTCGGACACCCCGACGGCGGACAACCCGCGCTGCCTGAAGCGCGACCTCAACGGCGCCGTCCTGAGGACCTGGGCGAGCTTCCGCAACGTCACGGATCTCATCACGGACAACGACAACATTGAGTGGTTCCAGGGCATCGCGCAGGGCCAGACCAACTATTCCGGTCTCGGCCAGCTCGGTGTCCATGGGGCGGGACACTATGCTTTCGGGTTGGATCCCGGTTCTGACGTCTACATCAGCCCTGGTATGTTGACGAGGCTAGATGTTTGGTGAAGGATGTTGTTTTTTGCTGACGATTTCCTTGATAGGCGACCCGGTGTTCTACCTCCACCACACGCAGCTCGACCGTGTCTACTGGCTGTGGCAGAACCTGGACTGGGAGAACCGTCAAGTAAGCCTTGCGCTTTTTAAGGGATGACCAGAGGGGCTGACTGAAATCTAGACCATCTTCGGCACCGGCACCATGGAGAACAGCCCTCCCAGCCCGGTGGTCCAGCTCGACGACCTTCTCGACTTGGGACCGCTGAACGACGAGATTTCCCTCAGCAACGCGATGGACACCATGGCCGGGCCGTTCTGTTACATCTACGCGACAGACTAAGCCATCAATTCTTTCTCTCTCTCTCTCTCTTTCTCTCTCTGTCTCCTTTACCTTTTCTCTCTATTTTTTTCTCTACTTTCCTTCATTACTCTTCTGGGATCGGCATAGTGTCAGGTAGTCATTCGTTCATGGGCGGCATCATCTTGTTCTCTGGAAGTGTTGGCTCGGCTGCTTTCTGTAATTGGCGGCGGGGAGACACGGCACCCCATCTCCTTTGTAAAGGGTGACCTGGCGGGATTAATGCGAAGCCAGCTCTGGGCGGTAATGGCGGAATGGCATAGCGTGGTTGGCCGCAAAGCAGTGTTAGAGCATCAGACGGAGCGACGTGCAAATTCAACGAGGCGTTTTGGACGAATGATACGAGTCAAGTGCCTTTCACACATGTGCGACAAAATAGCGGGTGGCTTGACACACAAGCAGACTGTGCCGGAATTTCCTCCGGGAATGCGAAGCGTGGTGACATCCGCAGTGCTGAGCGAACGGTGAGAGTGAAGCAGGCCCTAAGCGCGAATTGACGGTTGGCTACCCTTGCGGACGTAGTTCTCCGAGGCTTTCTCATTGTGAGGGATGCCTTGCCTTCTCAGCAACCCGGGCATGCCGGCCGCCCGGGCATGACGTTCGTGCCGTCGCGGACAAACGTACGGAGGTGCCACAGTGCGGCCCGTCGACCGAGCGCGCCCCCCTTTTAGCCCGGTTCGTCAGGTATATCGGCATCACGATGAACGCTTCACCAAGGTCGAGCGGGCGAGGGTGAGCCCGTCCGACTTCATGCCTTGATGGTCGTCGATCTGTAAACACGGGATCTTCCTGCGAGAGAGGTTGGTAGGCCGACTGGCTGATGTGTGTATCTGCTGTCAATATCGAACGACTAACGGCGACTGGTCCGAACCTGAGTCGACCGTCGAATGTCGTGCGTGTTCCGTCTCACCTTTATTCCAGGTCCTTGGCGTCTCGACTCCGAGAGATCCGTCGCGAGTGAGGCAGTTGAGTGAGGCTTTCGCAGGCTGTTGTGCCATGAGGTGTCTGAATCTCACGGTTTCTCGTCCGAACGCGACGTCGACGATGCTGTCTGTGGTTTGGTCTTCCACGAGTTCGTCAGGTGATGTTCCTCGTCTCCTGCCATTACTCGACTCGCTCCATGTCCGCTTGGACTCCTGGACCTCTGAGCTCCATCCCATCGACGAAAGTCTCTGACAGGACAGCATGAACCACTCGGATGCTGGAAATGCACCGGCAGCAACGGACCTGACACGTGTGACCACGGCTTGCGCCTGTTCGACGGATACTGTCGAAGATACCAGCTTTTGCTGGACATCGTCAGCTTCGGGGTTCACCCGGCCATGTTCTCGGCGTGCGTCCCGTCCCTTCGGTAGGAGCCGATCGCTTGAGGACCCATCGGCTGCTCGATAGCGAACGCCTTGCACGGTGGATACAGCCCAGAAAAGACGGCACCGAGCCTGGTATGCCCGGAGCGATGCAGCTTTGACGTCTTTGCAAGTACATCGCGTCGACCAGCGACTATCAATGGAAGTCAAAAGAGTTTGGTGGGTGGACGCCATGTCCGTCAAACTGCCTACCACCTCGTCGAATCATCTCTCTTAATGCGATATCTCCCCTCGCAAACGCAAAAGGAAAAGGGAGTCAGTCAATCCTTGGCCAACCAGCTCACATGTTGCCCAGTGCTGGAGGAAAGATGCGTATGTGCCTAAAGTCGATATACACCAAACCACCATGCAGAGTTTCAATGCCTTGGGCCGGGTGTTTGAGTTTCCGCGCTCTGAGCCTCTGCTCAAGGATCTTCGTGGAAGCCATGAAGAAGAAAAGAATGAAGAATTATGTGTTTTGAGTGGATGGATGGATGGTTGGTATTGGGGAAAGGTTGAGTTGGGGAAGCATCATTTCAGGGAAGGGAGCTGTAGAATGCAAGCTTGACGGGCTGGGCTGGGCTGGGCTGCTTACAATCCGCTGAAAGCTTAGGCGGGCTGCCTGCCGCTGGGGAACATGGTGTGCCAGACCAGGCGTTCCCCCCCTCCATGCCGATGACGCACCCAGCTGAGGTCTCCGGTCCCGCACGCAATGCGGGGTTCGTCGCAGCATGAGCGAAAAGACCACCATCAAAATAATGTAATGCACCCACCCACACACCATTGGGCGCTGCGATAGTAGCTGCTACCTATCGTGGAAGAGGTACCTTTTCCCGGATAGCTTTACCACCTTTGGCATGTACACGCCCGGGTTTCCGAAGGGTGCCGTTGGATTTTGCGAGTGTCGGATGCGCTACCGAAGCCGATGTCAACCAACAATTCTTCGGAGAGCTGGCAGTGACAGCTACCTACATTACCTTCAACACGGTGTACCGTTTTTTTTTTACCTTTACCCCTCCTTGGCCTAGACATGCATGGTGGGGTAGAATCAGCATCATCACGACCAGGTCAACGGGCAATGGCAGAAGACGCAGAGACCGTACCTCGACTCCTCAGCACCGTCTCTGGGCCTACACACGGCCAAGGCCGTCCGTCCTCCACTTTGGCGAGCTTGACCCTCTCCGATCTGATCTCAATGGACATAACTCGGTGTTTTATTTATTAGACGCCCTCCGATGCCACCTCTTGATCCCAAGGGCCCTTGTACTACTCCTCTTTAACTTCCAGGCCATAGAATAATTCCAGCTTTTCCCCCTCAAATCTTCTTCTCTTCTTCTCCATCAACCTCTCTCCCTCCTCTCCCTCCACTTCTTGCTTTGATTCTGCAAAACAAGCAGCACACCATATATACCCAGCTTCCAATTGCAATCGATACCCCCAAACCCCATCTCGTCAAAGAGACTAATCCAACCGCCAAAATGTCCGGCTTCACAACCAAGGCAACCATCACCTCCTTCGGGGGCCAGCTCCTCAAGCTCTCCCACAAGTCCAACACCACCGGCACCGACATGGCCGTCAACCTCTACCTGCCCCCGCAGGCCACCACCCGCGCCGTCCCCGTCCTCTTCTACCTCTCCGGCCTGACCTGCACCCCGGACAACTGCACCGAGAAGGGCTTCTTCCAGTCCCAGGCCTCGGCCCGCGGCGTCGCCATCGTCTACCCGGACACCTCCCCGCGCGGCCTCGACCTCCCCGGCGAGCGCGACAGCTGGGACTTTGGCGAGGCTGCCTCCTTCTACGTCGACGCCACCCGCGAGCCCTTCCGCCAGAACTACAAAATGGAGACCTACATCACCAAGGAGCTGCCCGAGCTGCTCTTCCGCGAGTTCGCCGGCAAGCTTGACCGTGCCCGCGTCTCCATCACCGGCCACTCCATGGGCGGCCACGGCGCCCTGTCGCTCTACCTCCGCCACCCCGGCATGTACCGCAGCGTCAGCGCCTTCGCCCCCATCGCCAACCCGAGCAAGTGCCCCTGGGGCGAGAAGGCCTTCAGCGGCTACCTCGGCGACGACCGCGCCGAGTGGGCTAAGCACGACTCGACCGAGCTGCTCAAGAACTGGAGCTACGGCCCCCTCAACGCCCTCATTGACGTCGGCCTCGGTGACAACTTCTACATCCAGAAGCAGCTTCTTCCCGAGAACTTTGAGAAGGTTGCCAAGGAGAAGAACATTGGTGGTCTGTCCCTGAGATACCACTACGTGAGTTTAGCCGTGAAAGATAACAACGAGTGACGGTGTGAAGCTGACAACTAGCAGGGCTACGATCACTCCTACTTCTTCATGGCCTCCTTCGCCAAGGACCACGTAGACCACGCCGCCAAGCACTTGGGTCTCGGCTCCGCCTGACTAGAGGGCCGGAACCAAAGACTGTAAAGTAAATAAATGAAATGGACCATCCCCCAGGTTTGCGGCTTGGAGCAGTAGGCGAGGAGAAGGAAGGAGTATACCATAAATCGTATGTGCGGTGGGACGGAAGGGAACATGTATTGCGCGCGCGTAATTGAATAAGTTAGTTTTTTAGTAGTATGCCGCTGCTGCTGAGATTGTTTGAATTTGAGAACAATAGCCGACGTATCATCCACCCGTTTCCATCGTAACCTTCGTGAAGAAAACCAAATGCCAACTATTTCCGCGTCCACGCAACCCCTTTTTCTTTTGGACTCGCAAGGGTAAAATATATATGTATCCCTCCCGCGCGAGAAAGAAAGGGGTGCCGCAAAGCAAGAACGCCAGCGCCGGTACGAATGAGCAGCGCCCGCCATGATGGGAGTATAAAGTCTAGAAGCATGCAAGTGCAAGAAACGAGTCCGGGAAAAGCGCCTAACTGATCCGTCTCTCCACCTCGGGACTCAAGCCTTCCTTCTCCAGCTTCGCCCGCATCTCCGCGTCCGCCTCCTTGCGGATCCGGTTGAACGCCAGCTTCTCGAAGCGACTGAGCGCCTTCCACCAATGCTGCCCGGCCTCGTGCTCGCCGATACGTTCCAGGAGGTCCGCCGTCTTCAGTCGTACCTCGCGGTCCTTGTGGAAGAGACCGAGGGCGATATAGAACAGTCCTGCATGAGACTCCGGTGCGACGCTTAGAAGCAGGCAGATCTCATCGTAGGAGTGGACGTATTTGGAGAACTGAACATAAATCTCCTTGCTCTGCATTGGATTGAGCCGCTGCGTTCGCAGCCGGTCGTGCATGTGGTGCAAATCGAGACCCTTTAGTGGCCTGACCTGGTACATCTGTGCGAGATCCTGAGACGGTTAGTACAAGGCCATGCCGCCACAACGATGGTTTTTCTTTCTTACCTGGATGAAGCTGTAGTAACTCCTTGTGTTTCTCCAGCCTTCAATTCTTGTCACATTACCCGCAAGTTCCTTGTGTTTTGACTGTTCATCCGGCCACACGTAGCCGTGGCCGTTGATACCGATGGAGCCCATTTCCAACTCATCGCCGCCAATGTAGAGAGCGCTCGCGCCGTACACGCTTTCCTCAAAGGCGGCTGCGATTCGGGTGAACTTGATCACCCAGTCTCTCCACTTGGCGCGTATCACTCTTTCGCCGTGCCTTGCCGCAATGCTCCTCAAGACATCTTGCATGAATGCCGCGTCGCCCGTGAGGTCGCTCTCAGCAGCAACCTTGGATGTGCCCCCGACGAGTCCGGCATAAGACGGATTCTGCTGCTGAAAGTACACCATTCCCTCTGTCACCGGCGCGGGGTCAATCTTGCTACTGATCTTGACACGCCCCGTGGGCAGGTCGCATAAGACATCCCACCATTCAGGGTGCAACTCGAATGTCGGATTGGTGACTCCTGCAATGAAGCCAGGTACGTTGAGCAGGTCGTCAATCTTGGTTAGATCCGTGTAGGGGAACGCATGTCGCGTGAAGCCCCTCAGCGTACCACCGGATGCCAAGGCGCACGCAGCCAGGACTGCCTCCGCAACCTCGCCCGAAGGCATGTTATGGCCCAGGAAAATCACTCGCTTTTGCGTCAACAACGCATTGACCAGCACGATGATCGGGTGTGTATGCGGGCCATTCGTCGTCAACTGCGGGTGCAACGGGAACGGTTGTGGTGACTTGCCCTGAGGCTCTGAGAATTTCTGGATGAGCTTGACCAAGGAGAAGTCGCCTACGGTTTCCGGCATGACGGCAACCGGGACCTTGATTGGCACCGGAATACCCTTGTACATGACCTTGCTTTCGAATTCGTGCGTATCCCGGGGCACTGAATATGTCGAGCCGAGTTCGATGTGCGCTTTCGTTCCCTTCCTCGAGACGCCTGGCATTTTCGGAGGCTCCCGGCTCGCGTCAAACGGTTGGTCGCTGATGTGCTCGCCACGGTCCTCGGCCATGCGCATTTGAATCATTTGCTCAAACTTCTCCACAAACAGGTCTTTGTTGTCACTGGCTTGCAGCAGGTGTCTCTCGAGCAGGCTCAGTTTCGGCATTAGGGACAGGTCCATGGCGTTTACAGCATCGTACAACATAGCCAATGTTTCGGGTACTGGAGCCTTGAAGTACTCATCCAGCGCTAACAGGAGAAGGGGCTGGATATTGGTTAGTCTCGTGAAATTAAACAACTATGGAAAGGGGAGCGTTACCTTGTAAATGTGCAAGAATGGATGCCTGGTGCAGATGGCCATGGCCTTGACCACAGCACCTCTCTTGACCGTCTTGTCTTGTTTCGTATTGACCAGATTCAGCACATAGATCAGCGGTGGCCCTTCTCCCCCTTCCGGCTCATCGTCGTCGGTCTCGTCATCGTCATAATCGTCCAAGTCGTCCAAGTCTTCCTCATCTCCTAGGTCCTCGCCCTCGTCTTCCTCGTCAATGATTCCAGCTGCGCGGTTCCTCAGCCTCTTGCGCCTTCGTTTCCTGGCCTCCTTTGCCTTGCGCTCCTCGTCCTCCTCTTCCTGACTCGTATCCTTGTGCAAGAAGAAAATGGTCCAGTCCTGGTTGCGTACGTGAGCTTGATCGGGTAACATGAGCTCCGCCAACATGTGTTCGTCGCCAGTTATGGAGACCGGGTACTGGTGCTCCATGACCGGGCCTCGGTCAATGTCGAAAGAGGCGACCAGAATGTACTCGACATGATTCTCGGTCGAGCCCCGCGGGTACTGAGAGCGCAACTTGCGTGGGGGGTGCGCATCGGGGTTGTAGCGGCGCGGGGCGGACAGCGACGAGTGCTGCGACGACACACCAGTGGAGGGCGTCTTTGACTTTGAGCTGGGGTTCGAGGAGCGGTCCGTCTCGGCGATAGGCGGCGGCTGAGGGGATCGCGAGGGGCGAGAAGTGTTGGACATTTGCGAGGGGGATCTCGAGGCGGAGCCGGTAGGGAAACTGGAGAGCGAAGTCCGACGACTGGGCCAGGGGCCGTTGGGCGATTGATATTGCTGGGTGTTGGAGTAGTTGCGCGTAAGGAACGGCAGCGCGGTCTGTGTTGAAGCCATGTTGAAGAGGGCCGCACCGCTAAATTGCGGAGCAGTTCAAATCGATAAATGGGGGAGGCTTGCGCAGGCTGCCGGTAGGCAGAGCCATCCAATGCACTGCAGTGTCGAGGTCCGTCCGGGGAGGTGCAGCGATGCGAAGTAGATTTGGCTGTCTGCGACAATGCGACAGTGGGAGGGCGTTGGCGGCGGTGGTCGCAGGAGCGGTTTAACGACGGCTTGCGGCAGCCAGATACATTCGACGAGAGTCCGAGTGCGACATGAATGATGCGACCGAGAGGGAGGACGTCTGGTATCGAGTACGGCGTCCGCAGTATCGTCGGGAGTCGGGAGGCGAGTTGGATGGTGGTTGTAAGGTAAGGCACTCCTGTCCTGGGGAGAGCCAAGTGCGAGTCGTGGGGTCCCGAGATGCAAGATGGAGATAGGGAGGGCGACTGTTCGGCAGTGTAGGCAGAGTGCGAGGGAGGGAAGGCGGGAGGTATTATTGGCGCTGTATCCTGTAGGGACTCCCAGTCAGTCAGGGACCTAGGTGCGGCACCTCAGCTTTCCATTACAAGAAGGCAGCCAGGCGGGAAAAAAGCAGCTGGTACGTAGCCGTAGGCGTGCCTTTTGCGGTGTTCACTTGTATTTCCAGGCAGGGTAGCGCGCGGAGGCGTTCTCAGACGACAGCCGGATGCGCTCTTCGAAACGTCAGATCCGGGCAGCGACTGGCGCACACAGGCAGACGCTGGCGAGGGAAACAGGATCGCCCTCGGGGAATGGGAGGCAACAGAGAGGGGATATCCTGCTCGTTCAATGTCAATGCGTTGGAAGAGAACAGCACCGAGACACCATCTGCTACGACGTTTGGCCTGGTCTTTTGGGTCTTTTCTGTTCCCGCCTACTTAGTAAGGTGAGGTAAGAAGGGCACATGGTCAGTCAGTCCATGGGTTCCATGGTGATGGTAGTAGTGGCCGTCACTGGTGGCCTTCTTGGTGGTGTAAGGACCTTGTAGAACTCCTGACAGGGGCTGGTTTAAGGTGTGGTGCTTCTTTTTCCTATTTTTTAAAATTGTGCAATCCAATTCGATCCCCCACCGGCACGAACAGCACGCAGCTAAATACGCCAGAAGCAAGGTACGCCTCTTTGGACCAAACAGCGCGTCTGATTGAAGATGGAGGGAGGCCTGCCCCTGATGAACACTAAAAGGGGGGGATTGCCCGTCTGTGGTTGGTGCCCACGCTGCGCCGGTGTGGCTCTCCGCGTGTCGCCCAAGCAGGTCGCGGGTCGCAGGTGAGGGACAAACTAATTAGTCGTCGTTACGTGGTTACGGATATACTATGTGTGCAGAATCTCAGAGTCAGGTCGGTATCGCTCTCTGCCTCGCCCGGTAAGTTTCGCGCTCCACGGGCACAGCAGTGAGCTGAGTGTACCTACGGATATCGCCTTAAGGAACCAACCTTGAGTTTGTTCCTTCGCTTACCCTTACTTTGGCACTGCATACCGTAGCTGAACAGACACACAGACACAGTCTGTCCGTCCGTCAGTCAGGCCAGAATGCCAGATGGACAGCCCGATGGCGGCGTGCGCGGGCGGGCAGCTCACGGGCAGACGAAACAAAGAGACAGCTGGTAGGCGGAGTACGGGGTTGGATACCTCTACTTGGCACTCGACAGTCCGCAATTGACGCTGAGGGAGGTGTACATACCGCAGCAACATAGTACCTACACTACTGGCTGCGTCTTCTATTGTCCGTGGGTATCGCCGCAAAGGAGTGGGCTTCGGCCGGTGGCAGTGGGCAGTGTCTGCGAAAGCGCCGACGAATGCGTACGTAGCTCTGCTGATCCTGATGAACGATCACTGATGCCGCCTGATCATGTATCGACTTTCCGACAACTCCCCCTCAGTGCTCAAGAAGCAGGTTCCCACGTTCCCAAGTCCCCTCCTTTTCCCTTCCCCTTTCCACGTTCTCCCCCCGCCCCCCCCTTGTCCTCCCTCCTTTCCCCTTTTGATGTTCCTGGTGGCCCATGCTGTCGCACCCAACCTAAAATGCGCTTAGCGCCGAGGGTCCTGACGTGAAACCCCTGTGGCTGGTGGCACGCTTTCGGCAATTGGAATTATTGAGCCACAAACCACCAGCCACATCTGAGTGCCCCACGTCAGAGATGGCCCCTGCGTCGCGGGAAGCTGCTGCAAGGCTGCGGTTGTCGTGGAAAATACGCCTCTGTTTACATTCGACCCCAAATCAGCCTTCGTCTTGTGGCTGGATCTGACCGCTTCCCAAGTGACATACGCCTCCAGCTTGACTCTAATACGAAACCAACATCCATCGGCTCTATCCAACACTTGTGCACAGTTTTTAATCTTGCCATTGCTTTTCCCCACGTCCTGCAGCATCACTGCCACCCTCTCAGACAGTGAACCAACGCCTCTTGGCCTCTCCATATTTCGCATTGTTTACTTTGGTGCCAAGTGGGCGCGCGGCATCAGACTTCCTGAGCAAGGCATTCCCTATTTCCCACCCACCACATCTATTTTCGCCGCAAAAGCCCTCATTATGGTAGGCCAGGGTCCATCTCACGCGTCGAATCGCCTCGAGGAGCGCATGAATTTTGACGTCGAGAATCCACAGGCAATGCCCGCTGGCTACAAACCTTCCCCACTAGGACCATATGGCTCTCCGCGCAGCTCACCCTTCCGACGACCAGAGTCTCCAGCATCGCCTTCTGCCGTGCGCCAAGCCTCAACACAAGTCACTCCTTCCGGATCACCGACCAAGGCGTCCTACGCTACCAACAACGGGCGATTCGGCAACCCAACTACTCCAACAGAGACAGTCGAGAGCCGTACACCGAGAGTGCGCACGCCCACTGGCGGCGAGACCAGCAACATCATGACCTCGCCCATCGCTGCGCGGCCAGCGTTGAAGAAGAGCGTCAGCCACGGCGGCGCCATTGCGCAATTGCAACCTGCTCAAGTCAGGACACTCAGAGAAGGATTCGAGATTCTGGATCGCGACAGCGACGGCATCATTAACAGAGACGATGTGGCGGACATGCTAAACCAGCTGGGTAAGTCGACAAGGTGACAGCTCTGCCTCGCTTGCAATGTTTGACACTTTCCAGGCCTGCCATCCAACGCATCCGACGTAACACATTTCTTCCCGCCATCCGCACCTCAGACGATGACGATGGCGACCTTTCTCAACTCTCTGGCCACGATGATGGCCTCTCTATCCCATCAATCCGAGCTTCTCTCCGCCTTTTCCGCGTTCGACGACGACGACAGTGGCCAGATCAACCTGAACGAGCTGCGAGACGCGCTGCTCAATACTGCGCCAGAGCCTGGCGAACGTCCGCTGACGGAGGCCGAGGTCGAGAAGGTGATTGAAGGCTTCACGGGCCGAAGAGCGTTCAGTCGCAGCATGCAAAGCGGATTGGGCAAGCGCGGCGAGGTTTTTAGATACCAAGATTTTGTCAACTCCATCATGGGTTCCTCCAACACGGCGTCAGAGCCTAACTCGGCCGAAGGATCGGAGGACTGAGGGTACAAAACAAGAAAAGTCTCATGGCACAGGGGAGATCGGGGTGTGACGACATTGGGCGAGCAATATGTGGAGACGAAGCTTCCGTAACCGCGGGGAGGGGAAACGAGCACAATTAAATGGAAACGGAGGGATTGACGAACAGATTTGGACATGACTTGCACTGTATTTTTATTCATTGGGAAATAATCAAAGGACACCGGATCACGGAAAGTATCAGGAATAATTCCGGCTCCGTTTCACAGCATTTCGCGCCAAGAGAGGCCTGTTGTTTGGCGCCGGTCAACAAGCCGTTGCGGCAGGCGCCCATTGTGACGATGACTTGACGTCGAGTGACGGGGGACAGATCCCACAGAGGCCAAAGCCGGGGCGGGGGATTAAGGGCTATTCCGTCGAGGACGATTCCACATGCAACGACGGTGTCTCTTCTCAAGGCATGGGGAATTCAGTGTAATGGAAAAGGCTGGGACGCAGGCCGTTGAGGGCAGTGCATGCACGTCTTCTGCATCCGCTTCAACTTGCATCCAGAGGGGGGTTCTGGGAAGACCCGCTGGACTGCGTAATAACCCTGGCCACGGTGGCCTTGAGCGGCAATCTGGACTTTGGGATGGGCAATTTGAATGGGCAAGCCGAGGGGATGGTGATGCCATCAGTTTGGTTTAGGAGGAGGCTGGGAGATGCACATCAGCGAGGAGGCCACTCGGGGCCACTCACAGGGCAGTCTGCAGCGGCCTGCCTACCTGTACATACAGCATGCAGCAGCAGCAGCAACGGCAGCAGCTGGCAGGGCACCTCTTTTTTTTTTTTTTTTTCTTGCCAACAAGGGGCCGGCGGCAGTGACCGGGACATGGGGTGTTCCGAGCTTGCACATTGATTTTTCAGGGACTTTTTCTCAGTTGCGGTCGGTGCAGGTGGTCGGGTGCCATTCAGCAACCAGCACCTTCGGGCGGTTCGGCGGCCCAAGGTGACAGCGGTCAATGGTGGGCGCTGATTGGGCGCGCCTCGCAGGGTCCGGGACGGAGCCCCACCGAACCTTCTCGAACCGGCCCGCTGGGATGCAGCGGACTTGGAGAGCAATAGCCGTTTGTTGCAAACGCCTCGATATGCCGATTTAGCCTGTATCCCGAACCTTCCTAAGCAGCAGCGGCACGGGTACGGCAATGGCAATTTGGGCTGTAAGTAAAGGCAGATGCGCAGTACGTAGCCTGAAAACTCAGCGTCGTGCCGCTGTACGACAGCTTGGATCCAGTGGTTCCCTTTTCTTCCTCTTCTGTCCTCCCCCTTAAAGTCTTGGAGTCGGTGAAAGGAACGTGCTCAGCATTATCTCATCCTCGACGTCTGATATCCGCCGTGTCCCGACAGTCAGGAAGGGCAGCTGTGGTCCCCTGCAAACGCCATGACGCTGTCGTCCCTGGGCCCTGGAGCTGGAGGACCCTCCAATGGAGGTTGAACACACGAAAAGCTCCTCTTTCGCGGGATCAGGTCTAGTCACTATCCTGGTCTATTTCTAGCCAGTACAGTTGAGGCCTGCGTCGGTCGCCGGGAGGATATGACATGGCCCCCGACGAACCTAATACTTTGCGCGTGATGCGCCATTGGTCGGCCGAGGGCGACAGCGAAATCACGGTGGCTAGGAAACGAGACGGGAGACAGAAGAACAACAGCGAGCAACACTCCTCTCCTCATTGAGTCGTCCGCAGACCAGTCGTCCGACGATCTCTTCATCCACCGCTGTGCAGCTAGGTAAACAAGCCGACGACGTCTTGGCCTCGCCATTGGCTCTCTGGCGGCTGCGAGTAGTCATCGGGAGACGGGACTGGACCGTTTGGACAAGCTTCCTGTGGGGATGTGTGGCGGCGACCGGTCTTGGTTACATCAACTGCACGCACAGCGCACGCGAGTCTGCAGGTATCATATACACGTTTTGCCGGCCGCGGGCGCCCAATGGCAAAGGCCAAGTGCCATGCCCAGGCGAGACAGGCAGTTGGTCGACATGGAGATGTCAGTTGTCTCTGGCAGGCTGGTTTGGTTTGGTTCTTGGGAGAGATCCTCCTCAAACCGACAGGGCTGGGGAGGAGCAGAAGCACCGCCTGGAACAGCTGCAAGGGCGAGCAACAGCAGTCCCCGCCAGCTGGTGTCATGGGGATAATGGAGTGTAAAGTGTTGTAATTGGCAGCGCTGGGTTGTGTGCTATGTAAAATATACATGGCCGTCCATCCACATCACGCACGCCCAGGCGAGCACATGGGCGTCCAGGGCCTTGTACAGTCTCCGTCTCCCCCGTATCCATAGGTACAGGGCAGGCAGAGAGAGAGAGAGACGGAGAGAGGAGAGGCAGGAAGGGGAAGAAGAAAAAAATTGTGCACAGCTGATAAATCGATCAAGTCCCCCGGGCGAGCAAGGCTCGTCTCGCTTGTTGTTTGGGATTTTCCGTTATTTCGTCTCTCAGGATGACATCTGAAAAGCAACTTTGTGCAATCTCCATCTCTAGCTATTGTTGCTGCCACTGAGCTTTTGCTTGCTTGCTGCTGCTGCCTCACCTTGGCTTCTTTTACCTTGCCTTACCGACGTTTACCTGCCTCCACCGGGTTCCCGTCCCCTACCCCTCTATCTTTTGCCTGTCCGCCTCTCAGGCTTCCTCGAGCACCTCCTCCAGTCAAGTCTCCTCCAGTGTCCACTCCCCAAGTGCCAATGGGCTGTGTGTCTTCTGGCTGAGCCTCCTCTCTTCCTAAACCTTACCTTACCTGCCTGGGCTTCCTTCCTCTCTCTCTTTCCCGCCTCTCCTTCCGCGCGCCCTCGCCCTCACCTTACCTCTACCTCGCCTTTCCGAGAGCCCGCGCTGTCCTTCTCTCACTCCTTCTTCCTCCTTCTCTCGTCCTGCTCTTCGACTTTCTATTGTTTTCTTGAGCTTCTTTTGCTTTTGCAGCCCCCTAAAGCAGCAGACAAACACTTGCCTGCACCATCCGAACCCTTCCCGCATTCCGCTCCCCGAGACAAGGTACAGCTGCCTTCACCCGGGCGCACCCAAGGTCCAAAGGAAAAGGAACCTTGAGCGCAGAAAAAAAAGTTGCTGCTGCAGCCGGCTCCTTCACTAGGCCCGTTAATGCGCTTTGGGGAATCCGGCACAAGCATAACCTTGCATCGAGGTCTGCCGACCCTCCTTACCTAATTAACCAAAAAAATAAGCCCGCGCATTCTTTTGGTTCCCCTCAGAGGGTGCTTGCTTTATCAATGAAGCTCTTCGCAAAGAAGTCGTCCAAGAAGCAGCAAGCCGGCCAGGACGAAAACGACTACGACGCCCCCCCAGCCTACTCTCACTTCCCTCCTCCCACCAACTCGGAGGCTTCCTCTCCCACAAAGTCGCCCACCAAGCCCCGTTCACCCACCAAGGCTCATTCGCCGACGAAATCCCCCACCAAAAAATCCTCCCAGCCCGCATCTCCAGGCCCTCGGGAGACAAAGTCATCGCGCACATCCCGCACTTTCGGCCGCCACCCTACAGACCCCGGATCACGCAGGACCAGCAAGATCGACTACGACACTCACCCCCTCAACCTCACCCCCGAAGAGCGTGCAAAGCGCCTTTCAGCCATGAGCGGTCGCAACTCCCCCGGAGCCATGGACATTGACTCCTCCCAGTCCAACGCCGCTCCTTCCTCCTCTCCTGCCCCGGCCCCCCAACCCTCCGCCCAGGCTTCATTCTCCGTCCCCATACCGAATGGCATCAACACAAACGTCAACGGCAATGATAATGGCGATGCCCCTCCTCCCCCACCTCACAAGTCCAACCCCTCCAGCCCTGTGCCCACTACCGAGGATGAGGCTGAGGCCTACAAGGGTGCGGGCAACAAGTTCTTCAAGGAGAAGGACTACAAGAATGCCATCCTCCAGTACTCCAAGGGTATGTTGCCGCCGGTTGCAAAGTCCGCGACACCGCAGTTACTAAGTCCAGTCTAGCTATCGAGTTGGTCCCCGATTCCGCCACCTACCTGAGCAACCGCGCTGCCGCGTACATGTCCAACACCCAGTATGAGTACGCCCTCGAGGACTGCACCCGCGCCGCCGATCTCGACCCCGAGAACCCCAAGATTCTCCTCCGCCTGGCCCGCATCTACACCAGTCTCGGACAGCCCCAGGAGGCCCTTCTCGTCTTCGGCCGCATCAACCCGCCTCCCTCTGCGAAGGACCAGGCTCCGGCCCGGGAGATGCTTAAGCACATCACCGCCGCCCAGAGCGCCCTGAGAGATGGCACCGCCGGCTCCATGGTTTTGCACGCCCTGGACCAGGCCGAGCGACAGCTGGGTTTCGGCGCTTCCAAGCCCCGCAAGTGGCAACTGATGCGTGGCGAGGCCTACCTGAAGATGGGCACCGTGAATGCCCTCGGCGAGGCGCAGAACATTGCCATGAGTCTGCTGAGGAGCAACAGCCAGGATCCCGAGGCCTTGGTGCTCCGTGGACGTGCTCTGTATGCCCAGGGTGAGAACGACAAGGCCGTCAGCCACTTCCGCAAGGCTATCAGCTGCGACCCCGATATGCGCGATGCCGTCAAGTACCTGAGAATCGTCCAGAAGCTTGACCGCATGAAGGAGGAGGGCAACCAGGACTACAAGCTTGGCCGATGGCAGTCTGCCATTGAGAAATACACCTCCGCTCTGGAGGTTGACCCCGCCAACCGCGGCACCAACTCCAAGATCCTGCAGAACAGGGCGCTCTGCAAGATCAAGCTCAAGCAGTACGACGATGCCATTGCCGACTGTGAGCGTGCCATCAGCCTGGACTTAACATATCTCAAGGCCCGCAAGACCAAAGCCAATGCTCTTGGCCAGGCCAACAAGTGGGAGGATGCTGTGCGTGAGTGGAAGGCGATCCAGGAGCTCGACCCCGAAGACCGCACCATCGCCAAGGAGGTTCGCAAGGCCGAGCTGGAGCTCAAGAAGAGCCAGCGCAAGGACTACTACAAGATCCTCGGTGTCGAGAAGGATGCGGATGACAACCAGATCAAGAAGGCATACCGCAAACTGGCCATCATCCACCACCCCGACAAGAACCCCAACGACGAGCAGGCCGCCGAGCGCTTCAAGGACATCGGTGAAGCCTACGAAACCTTGAGCGATTCTCAGTAAGTCGCCTGTCTAAACATACTTCGACTCGGCCAGTGCTAACCATTCTACAGAAAGCGTGCTCGTTATGACAGTGGTGAGGACCTCATCGACCCCTCCGACATGTTCGGTGGCGGTGGTATGGGAGGTGGCATGGGTGGCATGGGCGGCATGCACGGGGGCATCGACCCTGAGATCCTGTTCAACATGATGGGAGGTGGTGGCGGCTTCGGCGGCGGTGGCGGCTTCAACGGAGGCGGCTTCCCCGGCGGCGGTGCACACTTCTCGTTTGCTGACGGTTCTGGTGGTCGCCCGCGCGGCGGCCAAGGGTTCGGTGGACGCGGCTTCAACTTCTCGACCTGACAATCCGAATCTGAGGAAGATGAAGCAGAACGCTACGACGAGTCGGCCAAGCCGGGACGCAAGCCGGGCGGCTCATTCACCCAAGAGACGATGAAGAACCACATGAAGCGGCGCCAAGATAGAGGTGGCCGAATTGTGGAAAAGGTACGCCAGTACGGAGTGTGGATTGTGGCCGCTTTGGTCCTAGTTCCAATGCAGCTCCTGATACTGGCCGCGATAACTGTGGGATTCGTGTATATTTGCATCTTAGGGGCCCGGAAGCTGGGCATACGGCTCCGTGGCGGGGAATGAGTCGACTGCAGACTGGCATCCATGATCTGTTTTTTTCGGGATAGACATGACGCAAGAAAAGTCACACACCGGCGGCGTTACCAAGGCATCGATCGATTGTCACCCCCTTTTTTTGCCCAACCCTTTTTCAAAACCTGCGTTTTTCTTGTTAGAGTTACGACACCCAATTTCACAAATTCATGAGGAAGAGAGAAAGAAACCCAGGGGTACACGTCAGTCTTTTTTTTTAGTTTTTGTTTTCCCAAACAACTATGGGGGTGGGCTGGGAGGCGTCTTGCATATCTCTACTACGGGGGATTGCTTTTCAATGTCATCAAGGTTAGGCATAGTTCACACACCTGGTAATTGGACTCTAGACTTTGTCTCGGGCAGTTTTATGTCGCCTACTGCATGCTGCAATTCTTTTAATTGTTTTACACTCGTGAGTCTCTATAAATGTATGATTTGTCGCGTCGTCACGACTTTTGGGTATCAATTATCCATCGTCTCCATCCATCCATCCATTCATCCGTCTATCCAACACGACTCTCTCCACGTACCTAGTTCCCTCCAGGCCGCCCGCTCCCGGTGACCTTGGTCGCCTCGAGCACCCTCCCAACATCGTCCCTCAGCTCAGGCATGCCCTTCTCGATGTGCTCCGCAAGGACGTCGCGGAACTGCGCGAAAGCGTTCATCTTGCCCTTCATGAGCTGGTTCCCGCGGCGGACGAGCTCGACGAACTCGCGCGTGTAGATGTCGGGGTTGCGGCCGTTCTCGACGTACTGCACGAGCTCGGGCGGTATCTTGGGCAGGACGCCGGGCAGGTCGGGCGAGGGCGGCGCGCCGGCGGTGGCGGTCATGTGCACGCGCTGCAGGGACGAGGAGAGCGCGGAGACGGAGTCGGCGAGGGCGGGCCCCGTGGGGGTTTGATTCGCGTTGTAGGTTGTCACCTGAACCATGATCTGGTACAGGTCCTGGATCGTGTCTTTGAGCTGTTCTGTTTTGGGTGAGGGTTAGCGGGCGCCGCGAGGAGTTGACGAGAGGTTGTTGCTTACGCTCGAGTTCGGCGGGAGTTGGTTTGTCCATTGGCGCCATCTTTGCGGGTGTTTGGTTGAAGGATCAGGTGGAGGGCTCGTATGCGAGGGGGACGGTGATTGAGCTCGCGGGTTGGGGATGCGATGCCGTGGGATGTGACGATGCGACGATGCGAGGCTGAGGTTTGCGACGAGTGGATGGATGTTGGTGGTTTGTTTTAGTTCGGCTGGTTGTTGGCGGGATGAGCCGGCGGCACCTTCTGGCAGGCACCTCAGCTAGGTGTGGGGCTCCGTCTTACAGGGGTTTGGCGGGTGTCCGTCCGGGACCCTGGTCATATTAGCTGACCCCTCTGCATAACTTCAACGGTGGAATCTTTCCTTGGCTTTATTCCTTGGACAGCCGGGAATAACCCCACGAGGCTAATGGCACTTTGAGATGGCCGTCGGGTTAAAGCTGTCTATTTTCGGGTGCATTCCACACTTTAGAGTGCTTCTGGTAAGGATACCTCCTAGACAATGAATCTCAGGGTCCAACATCGGACCCCGCGTTACGTCTCACTTTGCGCCGCCGAATACCCTCCTCCAAGCTATCTTCTTCCTCGTTCCTTCGCGGGGCGAATCCGCGCCGTCAGCCATCATTCTCTCCGTGTCTCTATGGTCTCTGCCACGATCGATCCCAGTCTCTGGTGTCTCGCGCGAATGTCCCAGACCGTTGGCCGTCCTGCTGACTCGCCTCAGCGCCACCATGGCCGACTCTCTGGCACGCGGCCGTGGTGAAGGGGACCGGATGGGGTTGTACAGCTCCAGGTACTCGGACGATTGGGGCGGCGGTGTGCGGCGCACAAGACGCACAGCTCTGCGTCCGTAGTCTGGTGGCACCAGTGGGCTTCGGGGCCGGACACGTCTTAGTTGTGGGGGCGGCGTCATGTGTCGTGCTTCTCTCTCGCCAGGGGTCTCGGGGGGCGTCACGTAGCCTGATGATGTAGTCGTGTCGGTCTTTTCGAGACGGTCCCCAAGACGAGCTCCGAGACGGGACGACGGGCGCTTGAGAGGTTCGTTGCTTACCCAAGTGGGGGCCTGGGGACGTCGCTGGTCCGGTGGCCACATGCGGAGAGACATCGGCGAAGGGCACGGCGAGGAAGACTGTGGTGTTGTCGGCTGGTAGGTCGGCGTTGGCGACCCCATTGTGCCCACAGTCGAGCCGCCAGACACCGACGTCTCTGGGGTTTGTGCAAATCCAACCAGACTTTGAAGTGGACTGTTGACTACTGGACGCTCTTCTACTTGGTCAACGGGTCGGTACGGTTGCATCCAAGTTGGGATTGGCTTCGTTGGACTTGGTTTGAATGTTTCCTCCTCCAAAGGGTCGTTTACCGAGACGTAGATCGTAGAATCCAGCGGCACTGGACGTTGCACATCCCCGCGGGATCCTTCCCCAGCTCGACGCACCGACAACGAGTCTCGACTGACGGAACGGATGGACTACTCAGCGGTTAGTAGCGAAAACAATCAGTCGAATGTTCACTTACAGCCGGGGCTGTCACCAAGTTCCCAGTCTTCCCTTGACCTAGCTCCCATCGTACGCGACCAAGACCGCCGTCGACCTTCTCGGTCCTCTTCAGCCCACTCTGCACCAAGTCTTCTCCCTCAAGGCCAACGGAGCAAGCGACGCAAACCGGAGGGATATCAACCTCTCTTCCCTTCCTCCTACCTAGCATGCCTTCCCTGTCATGGTCCTCTCCGTGGTCGTCAAAGAGGTTCGACAACGGCACCCCGCGGTATATGATCTTGCTCCCATAGAACAGACAGCCGTAGCATGCTCGATGCCAGAAGCACCAGCCTAGGCTGACACAGTCGTCTCCGCGCAGGACGATCTCGCCGCAAACCCAGCATATCGCAAGGTCGATGATGGCCGTGTAGCAAGATGAACAGGTGAGGCGGGCCGAACGGCCTAGGACCTGTGGAGGGCCGTCGGAGAGCTGCTAGCAAAAGGCACAAGTGAATGGAACCCGTGCCGAATCCATGCTCCCCGTGGTTCAAAGACCGTGATGCCTTCTGTCTAATGATTCGGATAAGTGTGGTAGAGAATGAATCGACCATGAAGTGATGTTACCTAGGGAGGAGTGCCGCATAACTTCAACAGTAGTAGGACGTTGACTTGTCAGGCATGTGCTCGAAGCATTGTTCCTCGGGCAGGAATACTCTCACTAGCACCTGCACATCACCCGAATCACTTTCCGGCAGCACAAAAATTTGCTCAAACTCGTATGGCCATTGCATTGGCGCGCAACTTTTAAAACCTAAAACTCAGTTGAGGTGATACCTTGACCGAGACCAAACACAAAATGCAATCCTCTTGTCAACGCCCATCATATTGTACACATGTGGACCAAACAACGCCATGGCCAATCCATCCTCGACCACCCCCTGGTTCTGCCAACCTAATCAATCTGCAAATCAAAGCATCCGTCGTACGCCTTTCGTGTGATCCTGAGACACCGGAGTTGAAGAACAATCAGTCTCCTGATGCAACAAACAGCCGCGTGTCTCCCCATTCGTCATCATATAGTACAATTCAGCAACACCTTTACGATGTCGCGAAGCAATGTGCTGGCTCATAATATTTCCATGTGGAAGTTCATGCCGTATTCAGCTGCGCATCTTCGGCTTGGCCAGCATGTTCAGTCGGCTGAGACTCATGCCGATGCGCTTCTTAGTAGGGCTCGGCGAAGCAATGACTCGGGGAGTCTGCGGCTTCTTGCCGACGGTGTTGGGGGTGGCTCCCATAAGTCTGGGGGCAAGCAGAGCGTCTCCCTCAGGGACTGGCTCAGCCTTACGTCTCTTGCCAGCCCGCTCACCAGAAGCCTCTTCGAGGTCGCCTTCCTCCTCACGCGCTCGAGCACGCTTCTTGCTGGTCATTCCGTGGGGCTTTCCAGCGAGAAGCTGCATTGGGGACCGGTTCTCCTTGTTGGAAAAGGTGTTGGAGTCGTTGGGGAAGCTACCCGGCATGTCGAGCGATCTACGCACATGACGGATGCTAGATTGTCCTGCAGTCGAGCCAAATCCAGTGGGAGAGGCGCTACCGAACCGAATGGTATGGTCGCTGCGGAAGGTGAAGGTTCCGGGGACGGTCGCGGGCAGAGCATCGCTGGGCTCTGCGGCCTTCGTAGACGGGCTCTCAATCGTCAAGTCAGGGTACAGGCCATCATCTTTGGTTCTCTGGGTGACGTTGTTGCCAAGAATAGCATCGAGGTTGGGATACTGAACCTTGCCTTGCTTACGAATCGGGTTAGCAGAGGCGAATGCCTTGTGGGCGATCGTGTCCGGAACGTCGGTAGTGCGGTTCGTGTCAGGAGTAAAATCAACTCTCTTGAATAGCTTGCGTCGGGGAGTAGTGAAGGGAATAGCGGGCGGTGCCTTTTCGATGGCGACCTGGGGAGCGGGAGTCTGCGCGACACCAGCCGCAGGCTGGGGGATGGCACTCTTGGCCTTATCGTAGGCGCCCTTTCCACCTCGCAAAATAGACTTGACTCTCTCGAATCGTCCTGGGCTCACAATCCGGCGTTTCAGCTCGGCTGTCTTCTCCAGCGCACTCAAATCGTTAGTGGTGGCAGACTTTGTGAGGCCGCCCAAGTCGGGCTTAGATGGAGACTTTCGAAGGCTTCCCAGATCAGGCTTGCTGGGAGACTTGACCAGCGAGCTAGGCAGAGGCATCTTGCTGCCAGCAGCGCGAGCAAGGGAAGACTTGGTGGGGCTGGTCAACGAAGCCAGACTAGGCTGGGACCGAAGGCCAGGCGTAGGCGCAGAGGCAGCGGGAGCGTCATTACCGCTAGACTTGGGGCGCGGAAGGGAGCTGCCATCGCGAGAAGTAGGACGCGCCGTCGAAGCATCGTCCTCGAAGCGCTGGCGAACACGCTTGACAGACGAAGGAGGCTCCAGGTTGGCAAAGATTCGAGCCCTAGGGTGAGGGCCAGCCAATGTCTTCTTGGATTCGTTCGAGTTCGTGTCGTCCAGGTTCGCCTTAGACGGAGACCGCTTGAGGCTCGACTTCTGGCTGGGTGTACCAGCGGCCAGCAAGTTGGGCTTAGAAGGCTGTTTGAGGATCGACTTGGGGTGGCTCGGAGTGTCGTCGAGGTTGGCCTTTGAGGGGGAGCGCTTGAGGCTAGACTTAGGTTGAGTGGGAGTATCATCCAAGTTAGCCTTGGACTGCGAGCGCTTAAGGGAACTCTTCAGCGGAGTGACGCGGCCGGGTTGGGCGCGGAAAGCGGAAGGATGACCCTCGATAGAGTCCATCTTCTTGAACTCGGCCATGTGAGCAGCGCTGTAGCGGCTCGACTTGCCCTTCGCCTTTGCGATTCTTCGTCCATTCAGCTCCTCGTCCTCCCTCTCGAGTTCGCGCTTAGCCAGCAGCTCAGCCTTAATTCTAGCGGCCTCCTCGCGCAGCTCATTCATCATGCGCTGGGCATCGTTGCTCAAGCCGGTGTCTCCAGTTGGCTGATCAACGCGGAAAGTAAAGGGCGACTCAGGCACGCCAGACGTCTTGGAGGGCGTCGCCTGAGTATCGGTAGTCTTATCAGAAGGCTTCATATCTCTGAAGCCAAGCCAGGTAGCGGAGGGAGGAGCGACGGTAGGGTGAACCTTGCTCGGGTGCATCTCCGAGAGGGGAGCCTTCAGTTGAGAAGAGGAGGAAGGCGTGGCTGGGTCGTGATCGGGGACGACGAGGGCATTCAAGCTCTCAGCGACAGATTTAGAGGGAGGAGTATCATCTCGCTCGGCGACGGAAGCGAGAGTCTGTTTGGCCTTGGGCTAAAAAAGAAAAAGGACGTTAGTTCGGGGCCCGCGAGTCGTTTGTTTACAGCTGGCGGTCGGATTGTCTTACCTTGGGCGTGTTCGCACCACCGCTGGCCAACCGGGCCGAACGACGGCGAGGCGGCGTCATGTTGGATTGCTGCTCCGTGAGGGTATCGTCGACTTCGGTTTGATGTTGCTGTCAGGTTAGTATGGGTGATGGTCAAGACGAAGAAATCGTCGATCAAGCCAGGTCCTTGGGAAGAGACTCTGTGAGAGATTTGATGATGTCAGGCGAGAGTGAAAGTGGGTGTGGCTCACAGGTTCGGCGTTGGGTACGTAGAACGCGACGGGGGAGTGCTTGGAGGGGCTGCCGTTTGTTTACATTCCACAGTCGTTTGCTTTGTTTCGATTGGTCCGTTCGAGGTAGAAAAACAGTGACGGCCCAAGCTCCACGCCCCGGGCCTTGGGTGATCAAGTGGGGCTGCCGCAATCCGGACAGTGTTTGCACCGTACTCTGGGCGCATTTGTTTACCGTTCGCGGTGCCTTCACCCAGTGTTTGCTTGGGTTCACCTTGGGTTCACCCTGAACATCTCGTGGGTCAAACAAACAGAGCAGGCGCACCTCGTGTCTAGGGGTCCACGTCTACTCTTTCTCGAACTCTCTGTTGTTTCACGTGGCTTGTTGTTGTTCACGTTGTTTTGTACGCCACGGTAAGTACGACGGTGACATTGACACCTCCTGTTGTGGCTGCATCTGCTCGATTGGATGGCAGTGCTTCTCCCACTCAGAGATATCAGCGAACGGAAAGTCTAGTGGACGATGCGATCACGACAACAACAAAGCCAGCCTCGGCTATGCGTTCACAGGCGCAGCGCCACTATCTGGTGGCTGCAACTCAACGCAAGCCAGTGTCGGACCACACACTTCTAGTTCCCGGTTCTCTCCATTTAACCTCGTTCGAAACACATTGGTCAACGTCTCGGGAGCAAACGCTGTCTACCGAGGATGAAAGGGACTGAAAGGGAAAGATTAGCCCGGGCTGCCGCATCGTTTTCACCTTCATAATGACGCAGCATGAGACTCCAAAGGTTCGTGTTGTATTCCATGGATGGGTGCTACGAAGAGCCCAGCAAGGCTGAAGATTAGCGAAAGTCTACCCGGCTCCGAGGAACTGGATCTTCCCGCCTGGGCTTGAGAGACGCGACTCGAAGTCAAATTCGCCAAAATGTAGCGTCAATTGCCTTGTGAACACACACTGTACAAACACTCCGGCTGCAGGATGATTCGGATGGCATGGTAGAGATAAACGTATAAAATATGGACATGCGATAGAAGTCGTGGCTTGACGCCAAAACACCGAATTTGAGCCTCTCGTTCTTCCGGTTACGTCTCAACAGTAGATGATTCGCCCAGAATGAGGCTCATGGTGCGGAATGCTGGCCTTCCGGCTAGTTCCAGATGCAGCACTATGCTAGTAGATGACGACACAAGATGCTCGTTGCCGCATTCCATACAACAGGCTAAGATTTAGAACAGAATTGCCACTATGGGATAGGAAAGGCTCGCTGGATGTTCTAGCAGGATATCCATCAGCTTTAATCTGGTGATTTTATTGGCTGGTAATCTGTCCAACATGCTCCATCTAGCCTTGTCTCGTGTTCGACGGCCACATTCTTTGAAGGACAGTCTGCTCCGGAACCCGATTCCTTTGCAGTTTCACTCTGGTCTTACAATCACTTCTTCTGTGAGTTGGAGCATCCTGTTGGTCACGCTTAGCTGCCGTGAAGAGACGGATCTCCCTGAAGAAGTCCTTTTGCGGGCAGGGTCGATATCATCGTCTCTCTGGCTTTCAATTCTTTGGATTTGTGTGGTATGCATAGCGTAATCGTTATTCGATTTGAAGATTGGTGTCTTGTTAGGTAGCTGACCCCCGCTGATACTCGATTTCCATCTTAACCACTCTCTGTCCTCAATCCAATGCGCCCTTGTCTGCCCTTCCTCCCGTTGCAGCCATCCCGTCTGATACTCTGTGGTCACTTAGTCAGTTTCTTGTATCCGGCGGAAAGTCCTGCAAGATAGAGCTAGAGAAGACCTACATCAGACATCGTCTAGGTCAGAAAGAATCGTCGCAGAATACTTCGGTTGCCATGTGACGTAGAGAAGACCCAAGCATTGCCTTGCGAACTGTTTCTGCCTGCGAAGCTCTGGCGGCTGTCCTTCCGTCTTTGGGTGGTCCACATTGTTACCCAAGGATGGCAGTGGCGGGAAGCCGAGCTTGAGGTTGGCTGGCCTTGCGTCTGGTAAGAGGCTTCACGTTCAGTTCCAGGATCGACCACCAGGATGGATGAGTTATTGCTCTGATCCACCGGTCGTTTTGCGCAGCGAAATTCTGAAGAAGAACCTCACTGTCGAAAGGGGAGTAGCGAGTCTTGGGAGGCTCCTGCGGGCCATCGCGGCGAACAGTGGTCTTCATGTTGAGTTGGTGTTTTGGCTGGATCGGGGTTGTTGGGAAGTGAATGTTGAGTTGTAATTGAAGAGTTGTTCGGGGGAATGTGAATGGTTTCTTTAGAGTGGGTGTGGGGACGATGTGTTTGTGTTGAAAAAGAAAGAGAAGTCAATCGCTGGCGCAAAATTGGATATCCCCAAAGAAACCACGGGTACCTGACGGCAGGCAGCGATATCACTCGCACCTTCGCAGCTAGAACTAGATATTACCAGGTGAAGAATGTAGGTGACAGGATGGAAGGAACGTGAACATCACCTATGGCATCGATCAGCAGTCACGGTCCAGATGTGTAGGTCTCGCGGGTTTAATTCGTATTCATATTGCTCAATCTGACGCCTACCTCTCAGCTCCATCTCACGCCCGTTCTGAAACTTCCACTCGCAGACCAGCACCTCTCCGTCATTCTTGCTCTCTATCTTTTCAATCTTAGCTCATCCTGGGCTATCTCCAGGCCTATCATATCAGATGTCAGTGTTCCGTCAACTGTCATCAGAGTATGGGACGGCTGGCTACTCACAGATTACCGGCAATGTGTGCAAACAAGGCATTGAAGCCATGTACGCAATCAAAGGCCATTCTTATGAGGTGCCGAAGTTTCCTCATCTAGTACCAATCGGCTGGCCAGTCGGTTGCGGGCGGGTGGAAGGCGGAATATATGGTTGGAGGAGTCAATTGGTTCAAGGCGCTTGGAGGAGTTGGTTGTTCGGCGAGAAGCATTTCTAGATGGTGCGCCCAGACATCGTTGTAGAACTCGGGCGAGCCTGCCTGCCCCTGAATGCTCGCGGCGCTGGACTTCGTGGTCTCCTTCACTTCTTGAGGGCCATCACGTCTGGTCTGAGTCTTCATCTTGTAAGGTGAGTGGTGGAGTTGATCGAAGTTGATGTCCAATGTGACGAGTTGCGTAGGTTATTGTTGTTGTTGAATGTGAATCAACTTCTTGACTGTTCAGCGAAGGAATGGAGGTTTAAATAGTCGATCGAGTCAGGGGGTGGGCAGATATCTAGCGGTAATTAGGAAGGCACAAGCCTGTTGTGATCTTGTTGAATCAAGTTGTAATATCACTTCGAGGCCAGATGTGAGATATCTGTGGGAGACGTTGGAAGGTTCGATCGAGTCTGCTGGCAGGAAGGAAACTGGACATGACGTCTACGGGACTGCATGGTTCACCTGAACGAAGCTCAATGGTACTTCAAGTACAATGGGTATACGGCAGACAAAAGTCCTCCTGGGACTTTGGCCCTTTCTAGAGACGACGCCTCTTCCGAATGCTAATCACTGAGGCGACATCGACCAACTTGGCGCGGGGGTATGGAGCGTAGACATCGTATTCAGAATAAATTTAAGCCAACTCACGTGGAAGCTTCGTGGTATCACATTCAAGATGCTCTTGCTCGAGGGGCATGATTTTCTCACAAGTGCATAGAGTTCGCCCATAACTTCCAGTATTATACGTCTTGACTACGGTAGCAACGGAAAGATTGAGATATTAAACCTTCGATAAGCTCCCAATGGTGACAGTCCAGAAGAAGAACGATACTGGATGCACCAGGGAAGAAACGACGGAAAACCCGACATCGTCTGCAGTGGAGTTTTCTTGCCCCGTGCATAGGTGCGTTTCCGGTGGATCTAGGAGTCAAAGGATAGAAGCCAGGAACACAGCTCTATATTATACGTTGACCGGCTCGGACAACACATGGAGGGCCCGGTTTAATGGGCACGCAGCCATCTCGTCTTGTGAGTTGCGAACACACGGCCATAGATATGGGTCAGAGAGCTTGGAAGGGATACACAAAGACTCAGTAAAGTTTTACGCCTCTGTGTAATCATCTCAAGACTGCAGTTGACACCATCTCCGTCCCAGTTCCATGTGTTTAGTGGCTTTCGGAAAAGTTGAACAGCAGGTTGCACGAGATGCGAAGGATGATAACATTAACAAACACCCATCACATCCATGCCGAGGCTCCAGTCAAATCACAAAAGTCTACAACCGAGAAGTAAGGGAAGCTGATCCTGTCGTGTGCCGTGTTGTCAGATTTGTCGAATTGAGCGATGCAGACCGCGCGCATGTTTGCCGACGAAGCTCGGAGGTGGCTGCCTGGGAAAGAGGTAGATGAAGAAGATAACCCGACGATCCATCATGCAGAGGGGATGATCCAAGGTTCTTCCTTCAGTTGGTGGTGGCTGCCTCAATTTCTTCACAGATTATTGACACACATAGATCTGATGCTCGTTGGCTGTCAAATCAATAGCGGATAACCTCCCGCATCTGGCTCATAAAGTCAAATCCACATCGCCTCATCGAGATTCTTTGTTCAACAAGAGAGTAATGTTTGGTGACAGAATGCAATGGAGTTGTCTTCTTTTATCTGCCTTTCGACTGATGCTTGACATGTCGCGATATCATTAAGCCTGAGTTAAGTCAGTATCTCTTTCTCTCCAACAACCCAACCCAGTACCCTTGCGCCATGTCTCCATAAAGATGCCTCTCCACGCAGTTCAGGATCAAAGATTGGACACTGAACACAAACCCACGATCAAACATGATACAAAAAGACATGTTTCCGACACCGAGAATCGAACTCGGAGCTCTCCGGAGCCTCAGACCATTGGACCGGCTTGAAAGCGGAGTATGTTAACCACT